GAGAGCTGTTTCCCGCCAGGGCAGGCCTCCACGGCTGCATTCGGAGCCGGCGTGGCCTGGGCAGCCCATGGGGGGTGGGGGGTGGGGCTGGAGGATGGGTGCTGGCAGATCCCATGTCTGGTACCTGCAGCTGCGCGCTGAGACCCGTGGGCATCTTTCCTGGGTTAAGTTTTGATCAAGAAAATGTGGAAAATCTTTGGTTCCACCACAGAGCTGCGGAGTCAGCCAAACCCTGGCCAGTGAATGGCCTCCTTCCACTGCCCCCGGGGAGGGCCTGCTGGCCAGTCTGTGTGCCTCGTTCTTTGGAAAGCAATGATCCTTTACGTGCCGGATTTAAGATAGGTCCTAAGCCTCCGTAGAGAGACAGTTCCGTGGGCAAGACAGGCTGGCTGCTTGTAGTGACGGCACCTGCAGGGAGGCTCTGAAGGAAGGGGCTGGTCTGGGGGAATGTGGGAAGAGGGAGCTCCAGCCGCCTGTGTGGGAATGGCCACGCGGCTTCCCTGGGCCAGAAGGTGCAGCCTCTTCCTGGGGGACTTGCCTGAGCTGTCTCCTGGGACCCCTGGGACTCCCCAGAGGCTGTGCGGGTGGCTGGTGAACCCCATGGACCCCACCGGGATTTTGCTAGACAGATTCACAGGCGTGGAGAGGAGCAGGTAGATCCGAGGGATATTTAGAGGAAAAGCCATTCAGACCTGATGAGCCATGTGGAAGACTTCTGGCTCGTCCTGGGCATGTCCCCTTTACTTTTACTTTATTATCTTTGAGTAGCTGTGTAAAGGAGCCCCCATTTTCCAAAGCAGTTCATGAGCGCAACGCGTCCTAACACTGTCACCCCTGTCAGCGTTTTCTTACCCCTCCCTCCCTGCTGCCCCTCCTCGCGCCTCTAGTTTTGTTGGATAGATGTCGAGTTCCTTTTGGAACCAACTCTTTTTTTCTTATTGTTATTACGGCGGCGGTGGTACGCAGGGACTGAAAGTACACGCGTCAGGAAGTGAGTGCATGTCCTCCTGCTCTGCAGTGTCTTCGGGCCCTCACTCCCTCCATCCACCCTCCGTCTCCACCCACAGGTTGTGCAGCTCACTCTCTCCAGGGCTCAGTGAACGCCCTGCTGCACGTTTCCACCCTTTCCCCCACATCCCAGCACCATTGCTGTTCCAGTTCGGAACGTTGGCCAGTCTTACTGGGGTGAGATGGAATCTCAGAGCTGTTTTGACTTGCGCTTCCTCGATGGCCAGGGATGAGGAATATTTCCTCCTGTGTTCTTTCCATTCTTACCCCTTCTTCTGAGAATTCTCTCCTTCGTTGTCCCTTTGCCCATTTGGTGATTGGTTTATTAGCTTTGGGAAGGATTAATTTCTTGAGGCCTTTGTTGGGTGTATTGCTGGTCAAGATCTTCTCCTGGCCTGTTGGCTGCCTTTCTAGTTTAGTGACTATGTCATCAGCTGTGCGGAAACTTTTTATTCTGATGTAGTCCCGCTTGTCAAGTCGTTCTCCTGTCTGTTGCGTTCCTAGGACTCTATTCAGGAAGTTCCTGCCTTCGCCTGTGAGCTTTAATGTGTCTCTGAATCTCTCTTGCAGTAGTTTCAAGCTTTCAGATCTGGCCTTGAGGTCTTTGATCCATTTTGAATTGATATTAATTCATGGTGGCAAATAGGGATCCACTACTCGTTTTCACCTCTGTGTGTTGAATGTTGTAGCTGCATTTTCCTGCCTTCCTTTCTCTACGCGTGGGCACCTCTTCCTTGACCTGTTGGTCCACGCTTGCTGGTGCTCCGCGGAGACCCAGGGAAGGAAGCAGTCAGAATCCTCACTCTATCTCTTACCCTGCTCTTGTGTGTGGCTGAGTTCCCTCACATGGATGTCCTGTGGCGTCTCTTCACCGAGTCCTTGAGCACTTGCGAGTCCCCGTTGTGGCTTGGGTGTGACAAGCACCCGGTGTTTCTTTTGTGTTAATCAGGCTTCTTGCGTGTGGTAGACACCCAGATGGAGTGGTCACCGTGGGGAAAGGCTCTGCGGGTCCCACCCCGCAGCGCAGTGGGGACGCAGGGCCCTCAGGGGTGTCTGTTTCTTACTGTGTTCTCTGCAGGCAGGTCCTCGGCACAGGGCCAGGGGCAGCGTGGTGGGCAGGGCGTGAAGGGCTGGGCTCAGAGACACGGCGTCCTACCTCCAGAGCAAGATACACGAGCACCTGCCCAGGGGAGGGACAGTTCTGTCCTGCCTGTTGGAGACATAAGGAATTTCTCAGATGCAGCGTTCTAGGAACATGGTTCTTGCATTTTGGGGCTGCACAACTTTGAAACTCAAAAGGAGGGCAGAGATCTGGGCTCCTGGGTCCATCCAGCAGGACATTCCCATGAGAGAGGAGATTGGCACACAGATGGTAAGAATAACCTGGGAGGGGGTGGGCTAGCACAGTCCCGTGGGAGGGGGTGGGCTAGCTCAGTCTCTGGGAGGGGATGGGCTAGCTCAGTTTCCCTGGGAGGGGTGGGCTAGCACAGTCTCCCGTGGGAGGGGGTGGGCTAGCTCAGTCTCTGGGAGGGGGTGGGCTAGCTCAGTCTTCTCTGGGAGGGGGTGGGCTACCTCAGTCTCCTGGGAGGGGGTGGGCTAGCTCAGTCTCCTGGGAGGGTGGGCTAGCTCAGTCTCCCTGGGAGGGGGTGGGCTAGCTCAGTCTCCCTGGAGGGGGTGGGCTAGCTCAGTCTCCCGTGGGAGGGGGTGGGCTAGCTCAGTCTCCCTGGGAGGGGGTGGGTTAGCTCAGTCTTCTCTGGGAGGGGGTGGGCTAGCTCAGTCTTCTCTGGGAGGGGTGGGCTAGCTCAGTGTTCTCTGGGAGGGGGTGGGCTAGCTCAGTCTCCTGGGAGGGGGTGGGCTAGCTCATTCTCCCTGGGAGGGGGTGGGCTAGCTCAGTCTCCCGTGGGAGGGGGTGGGCTAGCTCAGTCTCCCTGGGAGGGGGTGGGCTAGCTCAGTCTCCCTGGGAGGGGGTGGGCTAGCTCAGTCTCCCTGGGAGGGTGGGCTAGCTCAGTCTCCCTGGGAGGGGTGGGCACACAGCGAGCAGCATCAGGAGGAGGGCGGGTCTGGGGTCCCGAAGGACTGGATACCAAAAGGCAGAGACAGTGCCCTGTTCACTGCTCCCTTGTGGTGCCGAAGCTGTGTTCTTCCTTCCCCGCGGCTGCCAGGAGCTGAGCTGGAACACAGCCTCACCAGCCACTGTGACAGCTGAGCTCTTGGTGTAGCACAAGCAGCCGCAGCCTTGGTAACGGTTGCCCGCACCGAGCAGCACTCCTCAGCATGCTCACTAGATCGAGTCCAGTGTTTCAGAGCACCCTCGACCCCAAGCTGCCTGGAGAAGGAGAGGCAGGCCTGGCATGGCGGAGGGTCGGAGTTCCTCGAGGGCTTGCTGACCGAGGCTGGGGCCCGGGCAGCAGCAAGGCTGGGGCTCATGGCCCGTCAGAGGCCAACAGCAGGCAGGCGCTGGGGCCCCCGGGGCTCCACGGGGCCCCACCCTGGCTGCGAGCTATTTACGGGCACCAGAAACGCAGCAGAGCCTGACCTCGGTTGTCCCGTGGGTCAAGGAGGTGATTATTCACGACGGCGAAGTGACGTCGAGGAGGAGCTGGACGTTAGGTCATTGGTCTATATATAATGGGCGTAAGCTAAGAGTAACATCACCCAGTCCTGAGCACAGCGGAGGAGGGCAGCGGTGGCTTTGGCCCTGTCTGGTTCTTAGTGAGCGTCCTGAGCACAGCGGAGGAGGGCAGCAGTGGCTTTGGCCCTGTCTGGTTCTTAGTTTGTCCTGAGCACAGCGGCGGAGGAGGGCAGCGGTGGCTTTGGCCCTGTCTGGTTCTTAGTTTATCCTGAGCACAGTGGAGGAGGGCAGCGGCGGCTTTGGCCCTGTCTGGTTCTTAGTGAGCGTCCTGAGCACAGCGGAGGAGGGCAGCGGTGGCTTTGGCCCTGTCTGGTTCTTAGTTTGTCCTGAGCACAGCGGTGGAGGAGGGCAGCGGTGGCTTTGGCCCTGTCTGATTCTTGGTTTGAGCGTCCCTCTGTTTGCTGTGCTGGTTCTTGGCCTCTTCCTCGTGAGCCAAATGTGGGAAGACCAGTGTTTGGGGTCTCCTGGGAAATCTTGGTGTTTTCTTTGTAACAGATGCGTCGGGTCATGGCTTTTGCGCGAGCCTTACCTCTGAGGACACGTTGATCCGAGCCCAGCCCTCGGACTCAGCCCTCAGCGGCTGCCGGGCCTCCCTCCCGGCCACACCAGCCCTGTGTTATTTATATTCAGACAGACGCTGTGCTGAAAGACGGACACCTGTGGCCAGCCCTGCGGGGTGCTGGTCGCAGACAGGCTGTGGCTGGAGATGAGACCCACGTGTCCAGCAGGCCAGCTCTCGGCCTGCAGTGGGCAGTTCCTGCCGAATGAGACAGAGGAGCGTCTGAAGTGTGCACGCCTGCGATCATTCACACCCAGCACTGCACGGGGCCACCATCTCCCCCTCCCCATCTGCAGCCGAGGCTGCAGGCATCCTGAGATAGAACAGCCATGTGGCACAGCCGGTCCTCAAGGCCCAGGGCCGGCAAAAGTTCCATCCCAAGAGCCAGCGCTGGGCCCAGGGACTCTCAGTGTGAAAACTGGGTCTGAAGCTGGAGTGGCACCGTGTGTGTGTGTGTGTGTGTGTGTGTGTGTGTGTGTGTGTGTGTGTGTGTGGTGGAATGTCAGTGCCTTCCGGGCAGCAGCTGAACTGGGGAAGAGCCAGGGTCCTAGGGCTCAGCACCACCCTCTTCACTTCCTAATTTGATCCGCCGGCCTCCCTCCTCCCTGCGTGTGTGCCGCCCTCCCTCCTCCCTGCATGTGGAGTTTCTGCTCTGGAGATTTATGATGCAGGTATGGGTGTGGGAGAGGCAGTGCCATGTCTAAATATAGCATCTCCTCGGGCCATAAATGGGAAGGAAGGACGGGCCCTTTGGAGGAAGAAATTAGCTGTGCCGTGCTCAGTGAGAGCTAGGAGCTGGCGACCGTGGACGGAGCTGCCGGCCCTCCCGCACACTCCTGTGAGGTGAGTGTCTTCCCTCCCCCGGCCCTCTGTGGCTTTGCTGGGAAAGGTGTGCAAAGCTGGTGGCACTGTGCTGTGGGCCGGGCTCAGGGTGAAGCGTCCCGCCTGCTCGCTGTGGGCACACCCGACTGCAGGCAGAGGGGATGACTCCACCGGGGCCTGGGCTCCGTGCTCACTCACTGCGCCCATGCCACCCTCCCCCCCCCGCCCCGTCCCCTCGCAGGGCCTCGGGTGCCCTGGACGCATCCCACGGCGGTCACAGTGGTCGGAGGATGGACTCCGGTGTGGGCTCTGGGGCGTTAGAAACGCAAGGGAGAAGGAAGACCGGAAGAGAGGAAACACCAAACCAAGGGTGTTTTTTAGAGGAGGAAAGAGAAAGAAAGCAGAGCCTTTTAGCCTAGACCTGGGCAATGGGGGAGAAGGAATTCCTCGGGGCAGGAGTCTCTCACGTTGGCTGGAAAGCAGTGTCCTCCAAATGCGTTGGGAGGAGTGGGGTTGTGTGGTGGAGCTGGTGGTCCCCACAGGGCGTCCTGGGGAGAGGGGGCTGCCAGGAGACGAGTGGGGGCCGGTGGCCACGCTGTAGGGCCAGGCTCAGCAGCGAGGGGGTTAGACGCACCTGCCCTTCCCTTCCTCCTGCCCCATGTGCTTTCCTTACCAGCAGGAGGAAAACGGGGGTCACAGAGCACATGGAGAGAAGACCCCTTCAAGGAGTTGCTTACTGAACTGCTAAGACCAAGTCTCGGGAGCCAGGGCATTACGAGATGCTGGGGCCAGGCCGAGCCCATGCCCGGGCATCTCTGCCTGTGGCTCAGTGGGCACTGGGGTCTGGCATTTCTGGCTGTATTAATGACAGGTCTGAGCGAAATCTGGGGTAAGCTACACAGTGCTCTGGCGGGTTGGGAACATGAATGCCTGTTCTCTGTAAGACAGTGGGGTGATTTAATATAGTACAGTGACCAGGCTCTGGATTGGTGAAGTTCAGAGGCTCTGGCTGGAGTTATGGTGACCAGGCTCTGGATTGGTGAAGCTCAGAGGCTCTGGCTGGAGTTACGGTGACCAGACTCTCGATTGGTGAAGTCAGAGGCTCTGGCTGGAGTTACGGTGACCAGGCTCTGGATTGGTGAAGTTCAGAGGCTCTGGCTGGAGTTACGGTGACCAGGCTCTGGATTGGTGAAGTTCAGAGGCTCTGGCTGGAGTTATGGTGACCAGGCTCTGGATTGGTGAAGCTCAGAGGCTCTGGCTGGCTGGAGGGTTTGTCCCAGTGGGGTGCTGGCTGTGATCATTTTTCCTTCTGACACCAGCCGAGCTTTAGGTGAGGTGAGCCAGGCGCCGTGGCCTCTCAGGCGACCGTGGAAAAGCACAGGAAACCAGGCATCCAGGGTGCTGGGTTCACCGCCGACGCTCTGTGGAAGCTGGTTTGTGTTCAGTTGTTACGTTTGGTGCACAGTGGCTTCTTCTGAGGGAAGCCTGTGGGCAAATAGTTCCCAGAGCAAAGGAGCCAGGAGAGCTCTGCGTCTGTGTGGACCCAGGCTTTGCCACCTGCATGACAACCACATGAAGATCTTCTGCTCGCCCTGCCCCCACCCCGTGCGCCTGCCAAGACGCAGACGTTTGTGCCAGCATCAGCAGTTGCACTAAATCGAGTACATGCATTGAGCTTGATGTGTGTTTAGCTTTTGAAGGTGTGCGCTCATCGTGAAAGGTTCCTCTGCCGTGTTTTCATAATCAGGTGTCCGGTGATCAGTGTGGCCCCGGGCTTCTCCTTTTCCCCACGGCCCCCATGTCTGACAGTCGGTGGACTTCACCATGTCTGCCTCACAGACCCTCTGAACTTGAAATGTCTGTGGGAAGCGAGGCGGTGCTGGGGACGGGAGGAGTTCCCAGCGTGCTTTGCAGCCCCTCGGCCTGGCTCGAGTTTCTGCTGGCGTCAGATTCCCCAAGTGTGTTGGAGCCCTGGGGCCTGGCCGCAGGGCCGGGAGGTGCAGCGCCGTCAGGAACAGGCTCTGCCCAGGCCTGTGACTTACAGACGGGTCCACGCTGAGCAGAGGTAACGTGCTTCTGGAAGGTTCCAGGGCCTCAGCTGGGGCAGAAGTCCAATCTTGGTCAAGAGGTCTGACTCATGAGGGGCTGTGGAGTGATGGGTGGTGGCCGACCGCGGGGGTGCGTGTGGCTTGCTGATCTGTGGCGGGCTGTCCTGTCATTGCCAGGGGGAGCAGGGGTCGGGGAGCAGGGGTCGGGGAGCAGGGGCCGGGCTTGTCACTGCCCTGAGCCAGGGGCCCCGCGGTTCCTGGGCTCGTCTGGCCGGCCCATTCGGTGCTCCACACCACTGGGTTGGGACGGTCAGGGGTGCGGTGTGCTGGTGGTGACCAGTAGAGAGCCTCTGAGGCCCGGGGTGGGGCGGGTGACAGCCTCGCTGGGTTTCATGGGGAGCGGAGCGGGGTGCAGGTGGCGTGTGGGACCCCAGCGCTGGGGGGGGCCTGCCCGTCAGCGGGGACCAGGACACGTGTGCACTGCAGATGCCGCGTCTCTGATCACAGGGCTGGCGTGCGCTCCTGAGCCGTAGCGTTTGCGGACAGCCCCCAGCAGCGTGTCGGGAGGCCAAGGATACCCGAGGGGCGTTTTGTGGGTGGCATGGGGAAGCACATTCCAGACTAGTAACCTCCCCACACATCCGTGGCTCAACAAACATCACAGATGTAACACAGGAGCAGCAGCACTGACGGCACGTCCCGCGTGAGCACCGGCACTGACGGCGCGTCCCGCGTGAGCGTCTGCCCCCCTCACCCTGCAGCAGGCCCACGGGAAAGTGTCTGCCTGGTGAAACACCTCCTGCATGCTAGACTGCTTTATTGCTCAGCACGCACACACATGACACACACGACACACATGACACATGACATGCAACACCCCATGATGCACCACACACGGCACAGCATACATGACACGCACGATAACCCCACAACACACATGACACATGGCACAGGGCATAGCGCGAGACACATGACACACATGGCACCCCACAACACGCATGACACGGTGACACACATGACAGAAGAGGCGGAGGAGCTGTGCCGGGGGGGGCCTCCGCGGTCCCATCGTGGGGTCAGGTGCCTCCCTCTGCAGAGTGACATTCACAGCCGAGTGACAGAGTGCCTGCTTCTGTGCCGGGCGCAGTGCCCCGTGTGGAGACGCGGGGTGTGCGGTCTCTGGGCCGGGAGGTCCCAGACGCCTGGGCCACGCGGCACTGACCCTGAGTGCGGCTGGGCTGCCAGACACCGCCCGCACTCGCGTCCGATGCCCCCGTGTCTTCAGCTGCGTCCTGACCCTTCTGTCTCTGTGGTGCTGGGACTTCGGGGCCTCCCAGGGCTGGGCGGCTGGTGTACCAGGTGGATTTAGGAGGCGATGGAAGCCCACTAACCTGAGGGCGGCCTGTGTCTGACTTACCAGTAGGCTGGGGTTTGGTTAATCCCCAACTTTCCAGCTCTGTGACTCTATTTAGAAACCACAGACTGAACAAGGTCACAAGGCCTGTCCTGCTTGAAAGGTACAGCTTGGCAGGGCTCCTTCCTGTTCTGTCAGTGCTTGGGTTTGAACTCAGGGCGAGGTGGGTGCTCTGCCCCTGGTGCCCCCCACAGCCCTGCCCTTCGCCGTCTGTGCTTTTTGCCTGGATCAGCCCGTGATCCTCCATAGCTGGAATTGCAGGCCTGAGCCACCACAGCCATCTGTGGTTCGGTAGGTTGTTGAACAGTCCAGTTGTTTGAACAAGGACTGCAAGAGGAAGTGGAGATGACTTCCTGTCTGAGCAAGGCCTGGACTCCCTCCTTCCCCTCCTCCCTCCCCCCGTCCCTCCTGGGTGCTGTGCCCAGGCTGCGCCCCGGCCTTGGCCTAAGACTTCTCTGGATCTGGACAGTTTGAACACCAAAGGCGCACGGGCTCAGGTTCGGAGGCTCCTTTGGGTCTTACCCGGGAGGCCGTCTCCGTGCGGCGGGTGGAGGGGACTGATGAGGATGCTGGGCTGGTGCTGGGCAGCGGGGGCTGCGTGTTATACACAGGCTACCCATTTCCAGGGACGAGGAGGGCCGCCTGCACTTTCTTGTCTTGGGAGAATTTCACCAGACTGTGTATTTCCCCGTATCCCTAAGGCTGTGTGTGCGGCGTGACGCCCACGCTCCTGCCTGTCCCTCCTCCACCGGGGCCCGGGGTCGATGAGCTGACGGCTTCACCAGCCCTGGAGCAGACCCGAGGCCCTGTGTGGCCGCAGCCCTGGGAAGGTGTGTGTGTGTGAGGCCCACCGTCCCGCCCCACCTCCCACACCTCCTCATCAGCCTCGCAAATGTCCTGCGGTCTGGGCTGCTCTGGATGCCCTCTCCCCTAATTTCCAGGGCCTTCTCTGTCTTGCGTTGCCTGTGGCTCTTATCAGACCCTCTCCTGCATTTCAGCTCTCCACTGACTTCCCGAATCTGTGCTGTGATTATTTTTACCCTCCGTGTTCACCTTGTTTTCCCATACATAGCCCCGGACCCACTGGGAAGGCACGTTCTGTAAATACCAGTGAGCTCACTACTAAATGGAGCACATAGCCCAATTCTCTGAATTTTATGGAAGCAACCAAAAGAGGAAATTGGGTCCAGGCAAATTGGCAGTCTTCCCAACTCCCCGCTGGAATGATCTGCATGAATGGAATTTCTCTCCTTCCTCTTCCCGGGTTCATGAGGTCATTAGCTAATCAGCGTGGTTTTCTGTGCAACAGAGTGCAGGTGTGCAGGCAGAGCGTGCTGAGCCTGGCTGGCAAGGCCGCTCGCACCTCCCTCTCTTTAGGAGGGTGTTCACACCTCTCTCTCTTTAGAACAAGGGTGCTTAGGTTTCTCCCTCTTTTTAGAATGAGGGGCCTCACACCTCTCTCTCTAGGAGGAGGGCTCTCACACCTCTCCCTCTCCTTAGAACGAACGCCCCACGATGTCTCTGGTGGCGCTACCCTTCTACCAGAAGAGACACAAGCACTTCGACCAGTCGTACCGCAGCATTCAGACGCGATACCTCCTGAATGAGTACGCCTCCAGGAAGTAAGTGGTGTGCTCAGGTCCTCAGTGGCCTGCCTCAGGCCCCATCTCAGCAGCGGTCCGCCGGGCCGCAGGGGCCCTGGCTTGTGTGGAGCTGGGAGCCGGGCCGGCCCGCCGCGTGGCCTGCCTGCTGCAGGGTCCCGGGGGCCTGGCTCCGGCGGCAGAAGTGGAGGAGGGCATCTCTGAGTTTTCTTACGCACGGCAATGAGCACAGCAGTGCTGGGATCGGGGCAGCAACGCAGAGACGGGAATCAGCGCTGTGATCACAATAGCGTGTGCGAGACACGGCTGTGGCACGCGGACGTGTCACCTTGAGACGCAGCTGTGTCAGCCCCTGCTGGTGCTCCCGGCGGACGTCCCCGCTGGCGGGGCCGCGTGCCGGCTCACACATTGGGCTCTTTCGTGGTGATTAGATGGCCGTGAGAGGAAGGGGGCGGCCTCTGGCCTCTGGCCTCCACCCGGGTGCCTGCCCCATGTCGCCAGCACCTTATATTTAGACATGCCCTGGCACGCATGTCGGTGCCGGCCCTTACAACAAGCACCGCCAAGCATTTGCAGCCCGTCCCCGTGGCTCGGGGTGGAGATTCCTTGGTTTATATATAATCGTGGCTTTGAGCCAGGCAGGAGGCTGTCAAGCCTGCGGGCGGGAGGCCGGAGCCCTCCAGAGAGTGCAGGGGACAGGAGGGGACGCATGCGGGGAGAGCGGGCGTGGCACGCAGGGACACGGGTCTGTGTGTGCAAGTGTGCGGAGCGTGTCCACACGTGTGCGCCTGCAAGCACCTGTGGGCGTGCGTGTACATACATGGGTATCTGTGTGTGGTGTCCCAGGCACGGGCGCGTCTGTCCGTGTGCACGCGCAGGCCAGTGCCTGAGTTCACATGTGTCACAGGGTGCTGGGGCGCACCGAGGCCGTTTCTGATCCGTTTAATTATGTTCACGCTTCCAGGCGTGCGTCCTCACAGACGTCTGCACAGAGCTCCCTCCAGCAGCGGTCATCGGCACAGAGCACGTCCAGCCGGTCCTCTGTCCGGGGGACCACCTGCCAGCTCTGTGCGAAGCGGGCGAGCGCGTCCGAAGAGGAGGAACGGGAGCATGAGCACAGGTGACCGCAGTCGACGCAGCCAGGCTGCGGGCTGGGGAGGGGGCGCGGAGGCTGGAGCCAGGCTGCGGGCTGGGGAGGGGGTGCGGAGGCCGGAGCCGGGGTGTGGAGGCCGGAGCCGGGCTGCGGGCTGGGGAGGGGGCGCGGAGGCTGGAGCCAGGCTGCGGGCTGGGGAGGGGGTGCGGAGGCCGGAGCCGGGCTGTGGGCTGGGGAGGGGGTGCGGAGGCCGGAGCCGGGGTGTGGAGGCCGGAGCCAGGCTGCGGGCTGGGGAGGGGGTGTGGAGGCTGGAGCCAGGCGTGCTGGGGAGGAGGTGTGGAGGCCGGAGCCGGGCGTGCTGGGGAGGGGGTGCGGAGGCTGGAGCCGGGCCTCGTGCTGGGGAGACGGTGTGGAGGCCGGAGCCGGGCGTGCTGGGGAGGGGGCGCGGAGGCCGGAGCCGGGCTGCGGGCTGGGGAGGGGGCGCGGAGGCCGGAGCCGGGCTGTGGGCTGGGGAGGGGGGCGCGGAGGCCGGAGCCGGGCTGCGGGCTGGGGAGGGGGGCGCGGAGGCCGGAGCCGGGCTGCGGGCTGGGGAGGGGGCGCGGAGGCCGGAGCCGGGCCTCGGGCTGGGGAGGGGGCGCGGAGGTCGGAGCCGGGCCTTGGGCTGGGGAGGGGGGTGTGGAGGCTGGAGCCAGGCTGCGGGCTGGGGAGGGGGTGCGGAGGCCGGAGCCGGGGTGTGGAGGCCGGAGCCGGGCTGCGGGCTGGGGCGGGGGTGGGGAGGCCAGAGCCAGGCTGCGGGCTGGGGAGGGGGTGCGGAGGCCGGAGCCAGGCGTGCTGGGGAGGGGGGCGTGGAGGCCGGAGCCGGGCGTGCTGGGGAGGGGGTGTGGAGGCCGGAGCCGGGCCTCGTGCTGGGGAGGCGGTGTGGAGGCCGGAGCCGGGCGTGCTGGGAGGAGAGCGGCAAGTGTGCACAGGGTGTGCCACCGTCTGTGCCAGTGGGCCCGGGCAGTCCCCACGGGGAAGCAGAGGGGTGGTTTTCTGCCCTTGGGCAGCCTCGGGAGCCCAGGCAGGGAGTCTGCTCTGGCACACGGCCTTCCCAGCCCTGCAGGCACCAGCAGCACACACAGGTCTGGGTGCTGATTATCCCCCCGGCCTCTCTGCTGGGGAGAACAGTGCCCATGGGTTGTGGATAGGAGCAAGGTCAAGGAGCCGAGAGGCGGCCAGGACTCAGCAGCCGCCTGGTGGAACAGGGCTGTCATGCCTTACATGCGTGCGGCGTCGGGCGATGAGATGGATTAGCAGCGGCGTCAGGCCCCAAATTATCCCCAGGTGGCGGAGCGCGGGCTGCTGGAGACGCTTGGGCCTTTTGAGAGCAAAATAACCAGCTCCGTGTCTCACAGCCAATGCACCCCCACCGACTTCAGCCGGTCTCTATAAAGTACACCTGAAGGGAGAGAGATTGAGTCACCACGCTTCGAGGAGATGCACCCAAGCCCCTGTCCCGGCCCAGGCCTGGTGGCTCTGCACACGCTCCCGCAGCTCCCACAGCAGTGCTCCCCCGGCAGAGCTCCCCCGGCAGAGCTCCCATAGCAGTGCTCCCCCGGCAGAGCTCCCCCGGCAGAGCTCCCACAGCAGTGATCCCACGGCAGTGCTCCCCCGGCAGAGCTCCCATGGCAGTGCTCCCCCGGCCATGCTCCCCCGGCAGTGCTCCCCCGGCAGTGCTCCCCGGCAGTGCTCCCATGGCAGTGCTCCCCCGGCAGAGCTCCCCCGGCAGTGCTCCCCCGGCAGAGCTCCCCCGGCAGTGCTCCCCCGGCAGTGCTCCCCCGGCAGTGCTCCCCCAGCAGTGCTCCCATGGCAGTGCTCCCCCGGTAGTGCTCCCCCAGCAGTGCTCCCCCGGCAGTGCTCCCCCAGCAGTGATCCCATGGCAGAGCTCCCCCAGCAGTGCTCCCCCGGCTGTGCTCCCCCGGCCGTGCTCCCACAGCAGTGATCCCATGGCAGTGCTCCCCTGGCCGTGCTCCCCCTGCAGTGCTCCCCCAGCAGTGATCCCATGGCAGTGCTCCCCCAGCAGTGATCCCATGGCAGTGCTCCCCCGGCAGAGCTCCCACAGCAGTGCTCCCACAGCAGTGATCCCATGGCAGTGCTCCCACAGCAGTGCTCCCCCGGCCGTGCTCCCCCGGCAGAGCTCCCACAGCAATGCTCCCACAGCAGTGATCCCATGGCAGTGCTCCCATGGCAGTGCTCCCCCGGCAGTGCTCCCACGGCAGTGCTCCCATGGCAGTGCTCCCATGGCAGTGCTCTCCCGGCAGTGCTCCCCGGCAGTGCTCCCCTGGCCGTGCTCCCCCTGCAGAGCTCCCACAGCAATGCTCCCACGGCAGTGCTCCCATGGCAGTGCTCCCATGGCAGTGCTCCCATGGCAGTGCTCCCACGGCAGTGCTCCCATGGCAGTGCTCCCATGGCAGTGCTCCCACGGCAGTGCTCCCATGGCAGTGCTCCCATGGCAGTGCTCCCACGGCAGTGCTCCCATGGCAGTGCTCTCCCGGCCGTGCTCCCCGGCAGTGCTCCCACAGTAGTGCTCCCACGGCAGTGCTCCCACGGCAGTGCTCCCATGGCAGTGCTCCCACGGCAGTGCTCCCATGGCAGTGCTCTCCCGGCCGTGCTCCCCGGCAGTGCTCCCACAGTAGTGCTCCCACGGCAGTGCTCCCATGGCAGTGCTCCCACAGCAGTGCTCCCCCGGCCGTGCTCCCCGGCAGTGCTCCCACAGTAGTGCTCCCACGGCAGTGCTCCCACGGCAGTGCTCCCATGGCAGTGCTCCCACGGCAGTGCTCCCATGGCAGTGCTCCCCCGGCAGTGCTCCCCGGCAGTGCTCCCATGGCAGTGCTCCCATGGCAGTGCTCCCCCGGCCGTGCTCCCACAGTAGTGCTCCCACGGCAGTGCTCCCACGGCAGTGCTCCCATGGCAGTGCTCCCCCGGCCGTGCTCCCCGGCAGTGCTCTCCCGGCCGGCACGATGGTGCCTGTCACTGCCAAGGACAGAGCACTCCTGTCCCGTCTTGTGTGGCACTAACATGTCAACGAACGGCTCTCAGGAAAGAAAAGGATAACAATGGGCAGACGTAGAACTCCTGGAAGCCCTGTCGGGGCCACGCGGTCTGGTCCCCTGCCCAAGACCAACGCCGCTCCTGGGTTCCCGCAGGTACCACTCCCAGGCCGCTGCGTACGGTGAGGCCAAGAGGCAGCGCTTCCTGGGAGAGCTGGCGCAGCTGGGGGAGAGCGTGCAGCTGGCCCGCTCTCAGGCCCGCACCACGCTGGATCAGTACTCTTTGCAGCACTCGGTAGGAGGCCTGTGCCCTGGGAGGTGATCACCGGGATGCGCGGCTGGCCGCAGGCCCTGCCACGTGGTCGTGACCGCTCTGGCTTCTTGGTGGCAGGTAGGGGACAGGCTGGAGTGGGAGAGACACGCCTTCGAGGAGCGGATGAGCAGGGCCCCGGAGATCCTGGTGCGGCTGCGCTCCCACACCGTCTGGGAGAAGATGTCTGTGAGGCTCTGCTTCACCGTGCAAGGCTTCCCCACGCCCGTGGTGCAGTGGTGAGGCGGGGTGCAGGGCGTGGGGTGGGGGGCGTGGGGTGCGGGGCGTGGGGTGGGGGGCACGGGGTGCGGGGCGTGGGGTGGGGGGCGCGGGGTGCGGGGCGTGGGGTGTGGGGCGCGGGGCAGGGGGCGCGGGGCGCGGGGCGGGGGGCGCGGGGGTGCGGGGCGCGGGGTGGGGGACGCGGGGTGCGGGGCGCGGGGTGCGGGGCGCGGGGTGCGGGGCGTCCTGAGGGTTGCTGGGCTCTGAACTTCACGGGGAAATGTCTGCAGACGACTCGGGAAGTCTTGCTCCCGGCAGTACCCTGCCATCTTCACGTTAGGGCATCACTTCACCGGGTTTTGCAGAACATTTTGCATTTTGTTTAAACGTCAGCTCTTTGAGGTGATGTCTGTTCGCGGTGTGGCGCAGGTCCACGCGTGGCAGTGCTGCCGATTCCCTGTGAGGCTCACAAGTCTGATTTCGTTATGCGAGAACTCATGGTGATAATTGCATGTGATAATTACGGAATTAAACCGTCAAGCCCGTCTTAAATCAGCGCCTCCTTGTTTCAACACCTGTTGCAGAAATCAGCCACCCTTTGAGACCTGTGTGTCTGTCCATCGGTGCTGTCAGGGCCACGTGAGGGCTGAGGCTTGCTCACCCTCAAGGCAGGCTGGGGTGCTGAGCGCGGCCCCACGGGCAGAGGCTGTGGGTGCTGGGCACGTCTCCACGGGCGGAGGCTGGAGCCTTGCTAGCCAGGCTCAGTGCGTAGGGGCTGTGGGTGCTGGGCACGTCTCCACGGGCGGAGGCTGGAGCCTTGCTAGCCAGGCTCAGTGCGTAGGGGCTGTGGGTGCTGGGCACGTCTCCACGGGTGGAGGCTGGAGCCTTGCTGGCCAGGCTCAGTGCGTAGGGGCTGTGGCACTCCAGTGTGTTTGCTTCCACAGCCCCTGATGCTCCAGCCTCAGAGCTAGCTAGCACAGCCTCGTATCGACAGAGTGGCATGACTTCTGAATTTCCTAAAAGCTCAAGCAGGTGTCTAGAGGGCTTGCTTCAAGACAGGGACTGCCAAGATGGCTTCGACAGTGCAAATGCAGTGTCTTTTTCAAGAGCCGCAGGCAGCGTCTCTTGCAGGCTCTGTGCCCCCCGTGGCTCTGGGAAGGAGAAGGAGAGGAGCCAAGGCTTGTGAGCGGACAGAAACGGGGCTGTGACAGAGCTGCAAACACAGATCTGCCTTTCAGTGAGAGCACGTGTTTGCTTTGACCAGGTACAAAGACGGAAGTTTGATCTGCCAGGCGGGAGAGCCAGGCAAGTACAGGATCGAGAGCAACTACGGGGTGCACACACTGGAGATCAACAGGTAAGAGACAGGCGCCGGCCGGGGCGGCAAACCAACAGAAGGTAGAGCTAGTGTGGGACACTTGCAGTCTGAACACTAGAGACTGACAGGAAGAGTGAGCGTTCAAGGCCATCCTGGGCTAGGATGGCTCCTGTAATTCTCAGAGGTGCTAGCACATAGACATAAACCACACAGATGCCAACAGACCTGGGATACCCACACAGACATGGACAGACTCATACCTACACAGACATAGACAGAATCATACCCAGAGAGACACCCACACTCACAAAGACACAGGCACAGGCACACACCGAGACAGACACAGACAGACTCACACCCAGACAGACAGACAGACAGACTCACACCCATACAGACATGGACAGATTCACACCCAGATAGACACGGATAGAATCATACCCACACGGACACAGACAGACTCACACCCAGACAGACAAGGACAGACTCACACCCAGACATGGACAGACTCACACCCAGACAGACAAGGGAGGGACTCACACCCAGACAGACATGGACAGACTCACACCCAGACATGGACAGACTCATACCCAGACAGACAAGGAGGGACTCACACCCAGACAGACATGGATAGACTCATACCCACACATACACGGACAGAATAATACCCACACGGACACAGACAGACTCACACCCAGACAGACATGGACAGACTCACACCCAGACAGACATGGACAGACTCACACCCAGACAGACACAGACAGACTCATACCCACACATACACAGACAGAATCATACCCACATGGACACAGACAGACTCACACCCAGACAGACATGGACAGACTCACACCCAGACATGGACAGACTCACACCCAGACAGACAAGGAGAGACTCACACCCAGACAGACATGGACAGACTCACATCCAGACATGGACATACTCACACTCAGACAGACAAGGACTCACACCTAGACAGACATGGACAGACTCATACCCACACATACACGGACAGAATCATACCCACACGGACATAGACAGACTCACACCCAGACAGACAAGGACAGACTCATACCCAGACATGGACAGGCTCACACCCAGACAGACATGGACAGACTCACACCCAGACATGGACAGACTCACACCCAGACAGACAAGGAGAGACTCACACCCAGACAGACATGGACAGACTCACATCCAGACATGGACATACTCACACTCAGACAGACAAGGAGGGACTCACACCCAGACAGACATGGACAGACTCATACCCACACATACACGGACAGAATCTTACCCACACGGACATAGACAGACTCACACCCAGACAGACAAGGACAGACTCATACCTAGACATGGACAGACTCACACCCAGACAGACATGGACAGACTCATACCCAGACATGGACAGACTCACACCCAGACAGACAAGGACAGACTCATACCCAGACATGGACAGACTCATACCCAGACAGATATGGACAGACTCATACCCACACATACACGGACAGAATAATACCCACATGGACACAGACAGACTCACACCCAGACAGATACAGACAGACTCACACCCAGACAGACATGGACAGACTCACACCCAGATAGACATGGACAGACTCACACCCAGACAGACACGGACAGACTCATATCCACACATACACAGACAGAATCATACCCACATGGACACAGACAGACTCACACCCAGACAGACATGGACAGACTCACACCCAGACATGGGCAGACTCACACCCAGACATGGACAGACTCACACCCAGACAGACAAGGAGAGATTCACACCCAGACAGACATGGACAGACTCACATCCAGACATGGACATACTCACACTCAGACAGACAAGGACTCACACCCAGACAGACATGGACAGACTCATACCCACACATACACGGACAGAATCATACCCACACAGACATAGACTCACACCCAGACAGACAAGGACGGACTCATACCTAGACATGGACAGACTCACACCCAGACAGACATGGACAGACTCACACCCAGACATGGACAGACTCACACCCAAACAGACATGGACAGACTCACACCCAGACATGGACAGACTCACACCCAAACAGACATGGACAGACTCACACCCAGACATGGACAGACTCACACCCAGACAGACACGGACAGACTCACGCCCAGACAACCAGGCTGGAGGGAGGGCTGTGGGAGTGGGCTGGTGGGGGAAGTCCTGGGGCTTGCTTTGCTGTTTGGGGCCCTCGCTGAAGCCAGCCTCCCTCTGGCTTTTCTCCCAGCTTCCTCACTTCCTGCCTCTCTGCCTCCTCCTATGAACTCCCTCTCTTCCCTTGGGCTGGACTCAGGCGTGAGCGGCTCTTCCCGGGGCTCACCCTGGCGGCCTGGGGGATGGCTGTGGGTGGGTGGTGCCTTCCCTGGGTTCTGCAGGCTGGTGTGCTCGCGCGCCCCACAAGTTATAGTTCAGCTCAGCTGTTCATTCTGAAGTGCTGAGCCGGGGTCATCTGACCCGGCTGTGTTTGGGCTGTGGAATGTGCTAGGCTTCCCTGTCCTGGCTGGCAGGTGACATTTGTTCCCATGAATATTCTTTGGCTGATGAAGCTAAATTCTTAAAGTGCCACAGCACAAGCTCCCATGGCACTCTGGATTTAAAAATGCATTTGTCACTATTTTATGGGCCCTCGGGCTTTTCTCTTGGGACCAGTGCTGGGAGTCCAGGTTCTTCACCGAGGTCTCCCGCTGCTCCCAGGCCTCTTGGAAGAGAGGGTTTAGAGCAGTCTGTCTGGCGTCTTTTCATTTGTGGCACAGTCATTGGCCACTCCTTGCAGACTGGTTTTAGGTAAACTTCTATTTGCGTTTTGGACTTTGATCCTCCTGATCTGATGTGAGCTCTGGGCCGCGCTCTGTGTCCTGTATGTGTGCGGCATCCGTGGGAGACACGGCGTGGTGGCTGGGAAAGTTCTCTGAAGCTCCGGGACAGTAGAGAGTTTGACATTTCTCAGGAGGACGGGATAGGGGGTGGGGGGGAGGATCACACAGAGACGTTGGGAGGTTAGAAGTGCCCCATGAAAGTGTGAGACCAAAACTGAGACCGAAGAAATGCCTCTCCTGTTCTGGGAGCCTGCCCAAGCAGAAAGTGAAATCCTGGTGGGTGCCTGCCGCCTAAAATCAAGGCTGGAGTCAGCCTGGGTTTGAAGCGCTTTCTCTGCGTGGTCTGGGGCAGGTGGACACTCAGAGTGCTGTCTCCACGGCCAGGCGGCCGGCCGGCTGTCCATGGGGACAGTGGGAGGCACCACTCCGAGACCACGGCCTCAGTCCACAGCTGGACATCTGGACAGGCCCTGGGCTACCTTGCATGTCCTCCCGCGTGTCTGTGTGGCGTGCACACGGGTGTGCACCTGGGTGTGGAGGGCAGAGCCGGCACAGCCTCCTCCTGCGGTGCACACCCGGCTCTGCGGACCAAGTGGCCGGCTAGTGGGTGCTAATGCGTCAGGTGGCACCGCAGCCTCCGCAGCCTGGGGAGCTGGGCGCAGGCGACAAGCCTGGCCGCTGCTGCTCCCACGCTCCTCCGCGCACCCCAGGCTGCTGCTCTGCCCTGCCGCCAGGGCCTGGCCCGTGAGGCTCGTGTCCCGAGTGGCCCAGGCCAGGCCAGCGTGACGAAGGGGTGGCTGCAGGTGCTCTGCCCCCCCTCCACGTCTACGCTGGCTTTCCAGCACGCGCAGCGGCCCGGGGCGGTGTGCGCCCCTGCTGTCGGACAGCCGAGGGCTAATCCCAGGGCAGCTTCTGTGTGGAGGGTGTTTGCATGAAGGCGTCATTGTTTGGAGGACATAGACAACACAGAGCAGACAGCAGTGCAAGCAAGAGCAGAGGAAGTCCCTGTCCCAGGGGCCAAAAGCAGCTCCAGCCTCGGCAGCCGTGTCCTGGGGGTCGGATGTCCCCACATGTCCTCAGGAGCAAGGCGTCCGTGGCTGCGTGTGTGCTCAGGGCAAGGCGTCCATGGCTACGTGTGTGCTCAGGGCAAGGCGTCCATGGCTGCGTGTGTGCTGAGGGGCAGGCCGTCCGTGGCTGCGTGTGTGCTGAGGGGCAGGCCGTCCGTGGCTGCGTGTGTGCTCAGGGCAAGGCATCCATGGCTGCGTGTGTGCTGAGGGGCAGGCCGTCCGTGGCTGCATGTGCTCAGGGGCAGGCCGTCCGTGGCTGCGTGTGTGCTCAGGGGCAGGCCATCCGTGGCTGCGTGTGTGCTCAGGGCAGGCCGTCCGTGGCTGCGTGTGTGCTCAGGGGCAGGGCATCCGTGGCTGCGTGTGTGCTCAGGGCAGGGCATCTGTGGCTGTGTGTGTGCTCAGGGGCAGGGCATCCGTGGCTGCGTGTGTGCTCAGGGCAGTCTGTCCGTGGCTGCGTGTGTGCTCAGGGGCAGGGCATCCGTGGCTGCGTGTGTGCTCAGGGGCAGGGCATCCGTGGCTGCGTGTGTGCTCAGGGCAGGCCGTCCGTGGCTGTGTGTGTGCTCAGGGCAGGGCATCTGTGGCTGTGTGTGTGCTCAGGGCAGGGCATCTGTGGCTGTGTGTGTGCTCAGGGGCAGGCCATCCGTGGCTGCGTGTGTGCTCAGGGCAGGCCGTCCGTGGCTGCGTGTGTGCTCAGGGGCAGGGCATCCGTGGCTGCGTGTGTGCTCAGGGCAGGGCATCTGTGGCTGTGTGTGTGCTCAGGGGCAGGGCATCCGTGGCTGCGTGTGTGCTCAGGGCAGTCTGTCCGTGGCTGTGTGTGTGCTCAGGGCAGGGCATCTGTGGCTGTGTGTGTGCTCAGGGCAGGGCATCTGTGGCTGTGTGTGTGCTCAGGGGCAGGGCGTCCGTGGCTGCGTGTGTGCTCAGGGGCAGGCCATCCGTGGCTGCGTGTGTGCTCAGGGCAGGCCGTCCGTGGCTGCGTGTGTGCTCAGGGGCAGGGCATCCGTGGCTGCGTGTGTGCTCAGGGCAGGGCATCCGTGGCTGTGTGTGTGCTCAGGGCAGGGCATCCGTGGCTGTGTGTGTGCTCAGGGGCAGGCCGTCTGTGGCTGCGTGTGTGCTCAGGGGCAGGGCATCCGTGGCTGCGTGTACTCAGGAGCAGGCCGTCCGTGGCTGCGTGTGTGCTCAGGGGCAAGGCGTCCGTGGCTGCGTGTGCTCAGGGGCAGGCCATCCGTGGCTGCGTGTTTGCTCAGGGGCAGGCCATCCGTGGCTGCGTGTGTGCTCAGGGGCAGGCCATCCGTGGCTGTGTGTGTGCTCAGGAGCAGGGCATCCATGGCTGCGTGTGTACTCAGGGCAGTCTGTCCATGGCTGCGTGTGTGCTCAGGGGCAGGGCATCCGTGGCTGCGTGTGTCCTCAGGAGCAGGGCTGAGCGGCACACCTGCAGAAGTGGGACCAGAGTTGGCCCCTCTTTTCTTTCTGTGCATCTGCGCCGAGCACAGTGGGTCCCCTGCTCAGTTGAGTCTGTCACGAAGGCCCAGGGCCCGGCCTGTCTGAGGCGGAGCTGGCCTTGTTCTTGTTGGAGCTGTGCTGGGCTGCTGTGCTGTCAGGGATGGTTTTGTTCAGGTCCAGGTTGCTGGCTCTGCAGCGCTGCTCCACACACTTGTGTTTTCTCTCCAAGGGCGGACTTTGATGACACGGCCACCTACTCAGCGGTGGCCACCAATGCCCACGGCCAGGTGTCAACCAACGCTGCAGTGGTGGTGAGAAGTGCGTGCCTGGCGTGTGGCAAGGCTGGGGGAGGGGTGGAGGCTGGGGGGAAGGGGGAAGGCTGGGGGGGGAGGACCAGGGAGAGAGGTATGGAGGCTGGGGGGGAGGCTACGGGGAGGAGGGTGGAGGCCAGGGATGGGGGGGAAGGGGAGGCCAGGGGTGGGGGAGGCCTCTCGCTGCTGTGTTCACCCAGTTGTCCTACAGGATTCCGAGGGGACGAGGAGCCATTCCACTCCGTGGGACTCCCGATCGGACGTAAGTGGATTTGCTTCCCTTTTGTGGGCAGCCATACGTGGTGACACGGCGTACAGTTATAACATTGTTCTTATCTAGCGTCTGTGAGTTGCGCCCAGGTCTCATTCCAGGCAAGAGTTTGATACTGGAGTTAATGCTTCCCAGGCCTCATTTTTGGGTTTGAGAGAAGATCTCACTTACTTTTCCCCAGGCTGGTCTCAAAGCGGCCCTCCTCCCACTTCCGCCTCTCAAATCCTGGGGTGACCGATGTGTACCACCATTCCTGGTTCAAATACTTAAAAAATGGTACACGTTTTTGTAGCTAGTGTGAGAATGGGAACGTGTCTTCCTCTGTCATTTACGACGAGCTGGTGTCTGTGGATGTCAGCGATGCATCCCTTGTGGAGACCTTCTGGGCTCCTGGTCCGGTTGGCAGAGGCGTCCCGTTTGTGGGAGGGACCCTGGTCGTTCTCGGTGTCCTGGCAGGGTTCTGCCTCCGCGCAGAACACACCTTCCTGGCTCAGGCCTGGCCTCCGGCTCCGTGAGTGCTCCTCTCCTGGCGCGTGAGCCCTCTGTCCGCCTACCTGGTCCAGTGTCCCCCCGAGACCCGGTCACATGCGGGCCTCCGGCCTGGGCCGGGGAGTGGAGGAGGGTGGCCGTGCCCGGACTCCCCGGGACCAGGCCTCGGGGAGCCCCTTGCAGTGTGTCATGGTTTGTGGAGTGAGGCTTAGGACCAGAAGAGGGCTTGGGAGCTCCCTTGAGGCGTTGCTTTTATGGATGTGAGGCCTGGGCGTCACGCACCAAGCACCGCACGCGAGTGGTGGGCACAGACACTGAGGGACAGGACTCGTGTGAGGCAGGAGTGTGACGTGGAGGCGGCAAGCTCGGTCTGCCACGCTCACGTCCATCTGTCCCTCCGCCCCACAGTGCCCCTGTCGACGGTGATTCCATACACACACTTTGATGTGCAGTTCTTGGAGAAATTTGGGGTCACCTTCAGAAGAGAAGGGGAGACTGTCACACTCAAGTGCACACTGCTGGTGACACCAGACCTAAAGAGGGTGCATCCACGGGCCGAGTGGTACCACGATGGTAAGTGTCACAGACGCCAGTACCACAGCAATGAGTGCCACACAGCCCAGGCCACGGGTCCGAGTGTGCCACACAGCCCAGGCCACGGTCTGAATGTGCCACACTGCTGAGTGCCACGGCTGTCAGCACCATGCTGGTGAGTGCCGCGGCTGCCGTCCAGGCTGGCATGACCGTGGGTGTGGGCCCTAGTGCTGAGGCCCCCCGGGCAGGAACTGTCTCTGAGCATCAGCACAGATGTGACCTTCACCTCCACCTGTGTATCAAGGCAGCCAGGCAGCGTTTGGGATGGGGAACCTTGAACTCCAGGAGAGTCCTGGGCGGCTGTGGGGAGGAGTGGCGTGCAGGTAATTCCTGCACAGGCCAGGGTACGGGGTGCCGGGCAGGGCCACCGGGGGCAGCTGTGGGGAGGAGCTGACAGGTGTTGGGAGGGAGGAGAACTTTGTGAGAAAAGATCATTGAAAGGCAAGGGGAGGGACAGGGAGAGAGACGCAGAAGGACAGAGACAGAGACACAGAGGGACAGGGAGACAGAGACACAGAAGGACAGGGAGACAGACACAGAGGTAACAGAGACAAACACATGGATTTATTTTTTTTTGGTCGGTCGTGGGGTCTGAACTCTGGGCCTGGGCGCTGTCCCTCAGCTCTTCAGCTCAAGGCTAGCACTCTACCACTTGAGCCACAGCGCCACTTCCGGCTTTTTTCTTTTTGCTTATGTGGTGCTGAGGAATCGAACCCAGGGCCTCAGGCGTGCAAGGCCAGCGCTCTGCCACTGAGCCACTTCCCAGCCCCACATGGATTTTTATTCAGTGCTCTCCCTTCTTCTTCAATCAGCTTTTTGCTGTTGCCTTCACTCTGTCCCGTGGTGGTGTTTCATGGTGTGTTCCTGGGGTGGGGGGGGGGGGGGTCTGCCCGTCTCTGTCTGGTGCTGGAGCAGTGGGTTCCTGGCTCTCCAGACGTCCTTGTGGAAGAGTCCAAGTGGGCCAGCATGTTCTTCGGGGAGGGCCAGGCCTCGCTGTGCTTCAGCCACCTGCACAAGGATGACGAGGGGCTGTACACGCTGAGAATCGTGTCCCGGGGCGGCGTCAGCGACCACAGTGCCTTCCTGTTTGTGAGAGGTGGGTGAGCGCCTGGCCGCGCGTCCTGTCCCGGGAGGCCTGGGTGACGCGTCCTGTCCCGGGGGGGAGGGGAGGCCTGGGTGATGCGTCCTGTCCCGGGAGGCCTGGGTGACGCGTCCTGTTCTGGGAGGCCTGGGTGACGCGTCCCATCCTGGGGGTGTGTGGGTGGGGGGGAGGCCTGGATGCCCTGTCCCGGGGAGGCCTGGCGTAGGCCCGAGAGGCAGTGGAGGCCGCAGGCCCCAGCCCCTGCCCTCTCCTTCCCTGACCAGAGCCAGCAGTCAGGCTGTGCCCGGTGGGTAACAGGCGCCGGCGCCTGGCTCCGTGCCTGGTCCCGGGCACCGGGCGTGGCAAGCGCACTCCGGGGTGTGCGCCCTTGCTCTCCACAGAGCCGCACTGTGACCCCCCTCCTCAGCTCCCCAGACCCCGGTGCCCCGCTGGGCCTCCCGCACGGCAGGGCTGCGTTCAGGATGAACGCCCTGGCTCAGCTCCGAGCCCAGCTCGGGGACGGTGCTCAGTCCTCTCAGACCTGCCTGGTACGGGTTAGCAGCTGTGAACACGTAGCAGGAAATGCCTATCATGTGTGTGCGCCCATGTGTGCCCGTGCACGTCATGCTTCCAGCAGCCAGGGTGGCAGATACGCACAGGTTTTAGATGAAGAACTTCCCGCTCGGTGTGTTCCCGTTCTTGTGGCCCTGCCGACCTCCTGAGCTTCTGTAAAACTTGAATGTCATGACCTTGCACAGGCTGAGATACGCATGGACAGGGTTGAACCCAGACTCTGGTCCACAATAATATTTAACCTTCCAACTTTCGAAGGATTCTGAAGCGTGAAGGTGTCTCGGGTGACATTTCTCAGGGGCCAGAGAGGCTCAGTCGCTGTCATCAGCGAATTTGTGACAGTGTGCTGTGACACGGTCATGTGCGACTGAGAAGTAAACTTTACTATTTTGGGTCCAATTAGGAAACAATAACGGATTTGAGCAGTTTTATAGCAGATTGAAGATTCACAGTACCAATCTGCCGGAGTAAAACCTAGGATGAGATGGCGGCTGGGGCGGGCAGAGGGAGTCTGAGCTCCGCAGCCCCAGCCCTGGCCTCGCACCTTAGTGGCATGCACACGTCTCCAGATGCCGACCCGCCAGTCACCGGGGCCCCCGGAGCCCCCATGGACCTAAAGTGCCACGACGCGAACCGTGACTATGTCATCGTCACTTGGAAGCCGCCCAACACGACTACCGAGAGCCCGGTCATCGGCTACTTCATCGACCGGTGAGTGCACACGGCCGTCCCCCAGGGACATGGGCGCCGGCGGGGCCACGGGCCTGGACACGTTCCCCAGTGGGAGTTGATGGTGCCATTCCTGACAGGCCCTAAGTAGCCAGGGCGGTGGCTGTTCACCACTGCCAACCCGGCCGTCGGTCACTATCACCCAATAGGCGGGTTTAGGGAAGCCCCATGCTTGTTTTGGGTGAGTCTGGAGACTTGGGCCTGTTACATTCCAAGTAGCAAGTGCAGCCAGCACCCTCAGGCACGCTGTGGGCTGGGCACCTGTGTGCAGAGGGTTTCTGTTCCTTAATTTAGGTCATTAAACTCAGTAGAGGGGTGTGTGTGTGTGTGTGTGCATGTGTGTGTGTGTGTGTGTGTGTGTGTGTGTGTGTGTGTGTGTGTGTTTAAAACAAATGGAGTTTTAAATCCTTGATTTTCCTTTACTTGATATAATTTTCAGAGTCTGTAAAGAGTATGGGGTTGTACTATCAAGGAGTTTATTAGATACAGAATTTATGCCTCAAATATAAATTTCAAGCAGTGGAAGAAATTGTAGTTAAAATGTGTTTAGAAATGAGGCAGAATGCAGGCTAAGAGGCTACAGAACAGAGTTCCTGGCAGGAATTTAAGATTTTATATGCACAACACAATATATAAAGCAAGGTACTTATTTGGAAAAAATGTCGGTGCGGTGTCTTTTTTTGGTCTTAGGTAGATGAAGTTCTCTTCTGAACACCAACAAAGCTGTTTGGTTAGCAAAATACTCACCATCAAGATAATATTTTGGCATATTAGAGATATTTTCAGAATTGTTTAGTGTTTACCTTAACTTTAAATATTTTATATAAAGATTTTGTTACATTATGGGAGGTTCTAGCCTATTCTGAATTGAAGAGTATATATAAATATATATATTTTTAATAAACTTTATTAAGGTAAAAAAAAACCCCAATCAGCCAACCAGTTAACCAATCAGCCAGCCAGCCAATCAACTAGCCAGCCAGTCAATCAACCAGCCAGCCAGCCAGTCAATCAACCAGCCAGCCAATCAACCAACCAAATAGCCAGCCAATCAACCAGCCAGCTAGTCAGTCAACCAGTCAGCCAGCCAGTCAATCAACCAGCCAGCCAGCCAGTCAATCAACCAGCCAGCCAATCAACCAACCAAATAGCCAGCCAATCAACCAGCCAGCCAGCCAGTCAACCAGCTAGCCAGTCAATCAACCAGCCAGCCAATCAACCAACCAAATAGCCAGCCAATCAACCAGCCAGCTAGTCAGTCAACCAGCCAGCCAGCCAGTCAATCAACCAGCCAGCCAATCATCCTGCCAGCCAATCAACCAACCAAATAGCCAGCCAATCAACCAAACAACCAGCCAGCCAATCAGCCAACCAGCCAGCCAGCCAATCAATCAACCAAACAAGCAACCCAAAACTATCTTCTGTTGTCCAAGCACATCAATTAATATTTCCAACTATATTGTCAAAGTTCTTTCATGAACTATCTCAGTGAATAATTCATGTTCCTCCCCCCTCATAAGAAGTACTGAAGTGACAGAAAGTTCTAGAATATGCAGGACATCTCCTGACTTCACACTGGCCCTGTGCATTGCCAGTTTCTGATTTAAGTAGAGTTCCCTGTCAGCCCTAGTTAATGTGGACCAGCAGTGTGAACAGAGAACTTCCACCGAGAACTCTGGTGACGTGGACCAGGGGTGTGGACAGAACTTCCACTGAGAACTCTGGTTCTTCTAACGTGGGTTATACCACTCTGAGGGGGCGGTGCTCTGAAAGACCGGTTCTCCGACCTTGCCATTTTTTTTCTCCTTGGGATGCTCTCTGAAGCATTTTTTGAATTCGCATACATTCATAATATGAAGCGGGTTTTGTGGTAACCCCATAGCTATGAGCAGTGCACTTTGAACAAATGTATGCCTGCACTGCCTGCACTTTCCCTCCACCCCACGCCTGCCACACTACCTTGTAGGCAGAAGGTTTGTACTTAAAGTTCAGCCTGTGAAAGGTGGGGTTACTCAGCCAAGTTTCCAAGTTTTTGTCAGGACTTGTTTTTAAAAGGCTTTCGAATTCCACAGGAGAATACTCTAGAAGGAAGTAGCTTATTACCAAGTAGTCATGAGCAGCTTCCAGGGGGAGTTCACCCCGGAAAGATCTGTGTGGGGCCCGTGCAGGAGTCAGCTGTGCAGCAAGGCTGGTGCCTCCCGGGGGGGGGGGGGGGGAGCTGGGACTTCACCACCTGCCGTGGCGCTGAGGAGAGTCTTACCAGAGAAAGATGTTCGGTGGCGGCTATCTTAAGTGATAAATTATGAAAGCTCAGAGTGACCTACCTGTCTGTCTGTCTGTCTGTCTATCATCTGTCTATTTGCCCATCACCTGTCATCTATCCCCTACATCATCTGTCCCCATGAAGGTATTTGCCTAACCCTGTCTAGCGATAAGCGTGGACACTGCTTGTAAGGACTTGGTGTTTGAGCAGCTCAGATCTCAGTTAATGCTGGGTGCCCTGTGAGCGCTTGGAAGGCTGCCGCACGGGTTCTCCTGTCTTTTCTGTTCTCTCTTGAAGGTGTGAAGTGGGCACGAGTAACTGGGTTCAGTGTAATGATGCCCCGGTGAAGATCTGCAAGTACCCTGTCACGGGGCTTTTTGAGGGAAGGTCTTACGTGTTCCGGGTGAGGGCGGTCAACAGCGCAGGCGTCAGCCGGCCCTCCAGAGTCTCCGAGGCGGTGGCTGCCCTCGACCCCGCTGACCTCAAAAGGTTACAAGGTAGGCTGCAGCACGCGAGTCCCGCAGATGACCTGGGACCTGTGGGCCCTTTGCACGTGGCTCCTTCCCTGTGAGCCCAGTGTGTGTGGGCCTTTGCACGTGGCTCCTTCCCTGTGAGCCCAGTGTGTGTGGGCCTTTGCACGTGGCTCCTTCTCTCTCTCTGTCCCAGTGTGTGGGGGCCTTTGCACGGGGCTCCTTCTCTCTCTCTGTCCCAGTGTGTGGGGGCCTTTGCACGGGGCTCCTTCTCTCTCTCTGTTCCAGTGTGTGTGGGCCTTTGCACGGGGCTCCTTCCCTGTGAGCCCAGTGTGTGTGGGCCTTTGCACGTGGCTCCTTCCCTGTGAGCCCAGTGTGTGTGGGCCTTTGCACGTGGCTCCTTCTCTCTCTCTGTCCCAGTGTGTGGGGGCCTTTGCACGGGGCTCCTTCTCTCTCTCTGTCCCAGTGTGTGTGGGCCCAGGGGCACAGCCCTGCTGGGTGTGCGGGTGATGCTCCCTCTTGATGGCAGGCTCTTGTGCTCCATGGCTCACGTGCTTCACCCTCACCAAGCGCTGCACCTGGTCCACTACGGTGGCTCAGGAAGGATCCTCCTCAGTGGACCATGGCAGAATTTCAACACAGTGAACATAGGAGCCCAAGACCCAGCATTTTAACTACATGACAGTTCCTTCATGGGCCAGGCCTTTAAATGGATGGCTGTATTTCTCTGACCCATGTTGTGTGGTTCTTTGAAACCTCTATGAAGAGCAGAGGCATGCTAAACATGACAGGAACAGGACCAAGCCCCAGCTCTGCTCTCCTGAGGGCCCTCGCACAGACCCCGCGCAGAGCTGGCGCGCGCCTCTGCTTCCTTGAGGGAGTGCTGGCCCTCAGGTCTGCATCACCTTTTCTCTCTGCAGCTATTCATCTGGAGGGAGAAAAAGAGATCGTGATCCACCAGGATGACCTTGAAGGTGCGGAGCTCCTCCTGCTTCATTTGGTCCTGTGTGGTCTGGGACTGGGGACAGTGGCTCCAGAGAAGGGGTGGACGTGAGCTTCACCTCAGAGCACAGAGAGGCGGGTGGACGTGAGCTTCACCTCAGAGCACAGAGAGGCGGGTGGACGTGAGCTTCACCTCAGAGCACAGAGAGGCGGGTGGACGTGAGCTTCGCCTCAGAGCACAGAGAGGCGGGTGGACGTGAGCTTCGCCTCAGAGCACAGAGAGGCGGGTGGACGTGAGCTTCGCCTCAGAGCACAGAGAGGCGGGTGGACGTGAGCTTCGCCTCAGAGCACAGAGAGGCGGGTGGACGTGCGCTTCGCCTCAGAGCACAGAGAGGCGGGTGGACGTGCGCTTCGCCTCAGAGCACAGAGAGGCGGGTGGACGTGAGCTTCGCCTCACAGCACAGAGAGGCGGGTGGACGTGAGCTTCGCCTCAGAGCACAGAGAGGCGGGTGGACGTGAGCTTCGCCTCAGAGCACAGAGAGGCGGGTGGACGTGAGCTTCGCCTCAGAGCACAGAGAGGCGGGTGGACGTGAGCTTCGCCTCACAGCGGTGTGTGCAGGCTGTCCGGGCCGGCCAGGGGGTAGTGCGGCCCTGATGCAGTCACGCTGTCTGTCCTTTCCTGGCCACCGGCCGACTCCATGTTTGAAATTCAATCCGCTGGCCAGGATGAGCCTAGATCAGGCCTCAATCCCTCTAAAGCCCCCGTGTTCTGTCACAGGACTCATGAGATGAAACCCAATCTTGTTTTGTGCTGTTGCGCCGTGGCCATTCAATCCCACGGGGCAACTGGATAGTGTGAAGGGCACAGAGACCTCCGGGGAATGGCTCCACCATGTTAATCATGTGCTAATCCAATCCGAGGCTCCTAACGTTTTGTATCACAACAAAAGGGATGGTGGCTCTGGAGACCTCCTCTGTGAGAATCTCCCATAAACCAAACACCAGCCTCTCTTACCTCACATCGTAGTAAAAAATGTGGCGAGAAGAGCGGCGAGGGCCCTGGTCTCGGGTTGCGGAAGCCGGCCGCGGGCGGCTCCTCTCGGAGGGCTTGGCTTCATGCGAGGAGTGCGGGCTGGGGCCGCCAGGGTGCACAGGCCTGGGGGGAGAGCGGGGAGTGCGGGCCTGGGCCTGCCAGGGTGCACGGGCCTGGCAGGGTGCTCAGGCCTGGGGGCGGGGGGGGCGCTGTGGAAGCGGTGCACAGGCCTGGGGGGAGAGCGGGAATGTGGGCCTGGGCCTGCCAGGGTGCACAGGCCTGGGGGGCAGGGGCGCTGTGGAAGCCGATGAAGAGCAGAAGTGCTTTGTGCCACAGCTCGGAGACCGGGGCGGGCGGGGCCCCGGGGCCGTACCAGAGCCCGGCTCATCCCTGCGGGTCCCAGTGCGGTGGGGGTCCTTCCGGGGAAGTTCTTACCCCAGAACTCTCAGAAACACTGAAGGCTATTTCGAGGAGACTGTTAAGAATGAGCTGATCTTGGAGTAGAAATAAGCGGGGCTCCGTCACTGAGCCTAGGGCTCGGCTCTGATGAGCAGTCCTTGGTGGTGTTGGTGTCTCTGAGTAGACACAGCCCAGGGCAGCCTGGGGGCCGGGGCCGGGCCTGGGGCCAGGCATGAGGGCCGAGGGTGAGTACATCCATCTCCCCTTCAGGTGACGTGCAGATTCCTGGCCCTCCCACAAATGTGCAAGCCTCAGAGGTCAGCAGGAACTACGTCGTCCTCAGCTGGGAGCCCCCGAGCCCCCGCGGGAAGGATCCCTTAATGTACTTCATTGAGAAGGTACCCTGCACGCTTCTGTGCGGCTGAGCTGACCGAGGGGCTTTGATTGCATCAGACAATCCTGACTGCCTGGCACTCAGATGCTGAAGGTGGAGGGCGGACTTGGGGCAGAGCCAGGGGAGTTGGGGGCAGGGGCCCCCCTCCCCGTGGTGCCCTTGGTGTGACATGGGGCAGCTGGCCCTGCTGTGTGCCGCATGGTGTGCCGGGCCCGTGGCCGCCGCCATCATGGAGGTGCACACCGCCCGCTGCCCTCTGGGCCTGGAGGACTGGCCCAGGGCTGGGCTGTCCCAGCCGCTCCTGGCTTCTGGGGTGGTGTCCCCAGGCCGGTGTCCGCTCCTCCTGTGGGACCACCGTCTCTGGCCAGCCTTGCTGCCTCCTCTCCCTCCCGGGCCTGGACAGGACACACAGGACCGAGGGGACAGCCCTTGGGCACCCACACGACCCAAATCCACGAGAGGGAACCCTCCTTTACCCGTGGATCCCACTGCTTCCGGCTCCGGCCGGTCCACCGGAGCTACAACCTGTGCACGCTCCACACTTGCTTTCCTTCGGTGGGGAATGTTTGGGAGCTTTCCAGCCAGGGTCGGCGGTGCAGCGGGTGGGCTTGCTCGGGGCGTGTCCCCTGCAGGGCATGTCCCCCTGCAGGGCACCCGGGCCCCACCTTGGGAGTGCCATGCTGTCCTGTCCTCTCCACAGTCCGCAGTGGGCAGCGGCAGCTGGCAGCGCGTCAACGCCCAGACGGCCGTGAGGTCTCCTCGGTACGCCGTCTTCGACCTCGCCGAGGGGAAACCCTATGTGTTCCGGGTTTTGTCAGCGAACAAGCATGGCCTCAGCGACCCGTCGGAGATCACAGCCCCCATCCAGGTGCAGGATTCCATCGGTGAGTGGCACCGGGTCACCATCCGCCTTCGGGCCTGCACGTGGAGTCGCCGGGTGCACACGAGCCAGCCCGCTGCGTAAAGCAGTGTCACAGACCTGCAGAACTCTGGCCAGGGTCTTGTGGGCCCTGGCTTGACTCTGGAGTTCCATCATCTCTTGAAACTAATCAAGAGCTCACAGGAGAGTGTCTTGGTAAAGGCCCTTAAAATCTCCAGCCCCATATGTAGCATGGTCTCCTGCCTAGTTGGCTTGAAGCTCCCTCTTGGAAGATTTCAAATGTGAGTCACGGAAATTCAGACTCTGCCCTGCTGAGGTGAGGCTCGGGCCGGAGGCCTGCCAGCGCCCCTGCCCCTGCGTGACCAGCCTGATGTCAGGAGCCCCGTTCAGAGCTGCTGGAGCCTTTGCTCCCATCTCCCTTTGGCCAGATTTGACAAGAAAGTCAGACACCAAGCTGGCGCTCGGGATGGAGGCACTGGCTGCTCCCAGGTCCCGCTCCGCGTTCGTCTTGATCAAATCCAGCTGGGGTCACACCTCTAATCCTAGGCATTCAGGAGGTGGAGATTGGAAGGACCATGGTTCAGGGCCAGCCTGGGGAAAAAGTCCTCAAGAACTTCAGGTTCTCTGGACACCTGCCCACCATCCAAGCCAGTAGGAAGCGGAGGGCAGGGGTTCAGGCCTGCACCCGCCACATGGGAGGCACCGGTGGGAGGATTTGGTGTTCCAGCCCAGCCAGAGCATACACATGAGGCCCTAACCAAAGCATTATTGAAATAAAAAGGGTCTCACTCAAGCGACAGACCACCCGCCAGACAGAACAGACCCCATAGAAGCACAGGCCGCACACGGCTGCTCCTCTTAGCAGAGGCTCATGGCCAAGGCTGCTGGCTCTGGGCGGTGGGTGACAGGCTGGGGACGTGAGGCCACAGCCCCACCAGCCCGGCCGAGGCAAGGAGGCATGACCATCCAGTCACAGGTTAGCTCCGAGTCCCTCACAGGTTGCCCAGAGCCTGAGGCGGACGCCCCCAGCGGGGCGTGCACCACAAAGGGGGCTGTGTCCCAGGCCAGCTCCGGCCACGCGCGCGCTGTCAGCAGCAGGGTAGGGTGCAGGCTTCCTCCCTCCCCCTCAGAGTCTGGTGGGTTATGGGGACAGACAGACTTCCTGCGGCTGCTCCCTGCGCTCCTGGTTCCCGGTGGACGCTTCATCTACAGCCACAAGCCAGGCTGGCGTCCTCTGCACTCACCACCCTCCCTCCTTCCTCCCCCCCCCCCCCCCGCTCCCCACAGCCGTCCCTTCCTCCCCTGGCCGTGTGCTTGCTTCCCGGAACACCAAGACGTCGGTGGTGGTGCAGTGGGACAGACCCAAGCACGAAGAGGACCTGCTGGGCTACTACGTGGACTGCTGTGTGGCCGGGACCAACCAGTGGGAGCCCTGCAACCACAAGCCCATTGGCTACAACAGGTGCCCCCTCCCTCCTGCGCCAACCAGGCCACTGCTGGGGAGCAGAGGCCATGCCCACACCCTGGGTGACCCCCGGTAACAGGCCCCGCCCACACCCTGGGTGACCCCCGGTGACAGGCCCTGCCCACACCCTGGGTGACCCCCATAGACAGCTGGGTGACCCCCAGTGACAGGCCCTGCCCACACCCTGGGTGACCCCCATAGACAGACCCCGCCCACACCCTGGGTGACCCCCAGTGACAGGCCCCGCCCACACCCTGGGTGACCCCCCCATAGACAGACCCCGCCCACACCCTGGGTGACCCCCAGTGACAGGCCCCACCCACACCCTGGGTGACCCCCGGTGACAGGCCCCGCCCACACCCTGGGTGACCCCCAGTGACAGGCCCCGCCCACACCCTGGGTGACCCCCGGTGACAGGCCCCGCCCACACCCTGGGTGATCCCCGGTGACAGGCCCCGCCCACACACTGGGTGACCCCCATAGACAGACCCCGCCCACACCCTGGGTGACCCCCAGTGACAGGCCCCGCCCACACCCTGGGTGACCCCCAGTGACAGGCCCCGCCCACACCCTGGGTGACCCCCATAGACAGACCCCGCCCACACCCTGGGTGACCCCCAGTGACAGGCCCCACCCACACCCTGGGTGACCCCCGGTGACAGGCCCCGCCCACACCCTGGGTGACCCCCGGTGACAGGCCCCGCCCACACACTGGGTGACCCCCATAGACAGACCCCGCCCACACCCTGGGTGACCCCCATAGACAGACCCCGCCCACACCCTGGGTGACCCCCGGTGACAGGCCCCCCCCACACCCTGGGTGACCCCCATAGACAGACCCCGCCCACACCCTGGGTGACCCCCGGTGACAGGCCCCGCCCACACCCTGGGTGACCCCCGGTGACAGGCCCCGCCCACACCCTGGGTGACACCCAGTGACAGACCCCGCCCACACCCTGGGTGACACCCAGTGACAGGCCCCGCCCACACCCTGGGTGACACCCAGTGACAGACCCCGCCCACACCCTGGGTGACACCCAGTGACAGACCCCGCCCACACCCTGGGTGACACCCAGTGACAGGCTCCGCCCACACCCTGGGTGACACCCAGTGACAGGCTCCGCCCACACCCTGGGTGACACCCAGTGACAGGCCCTGCCCACTGCCTCTACTCTCCTGTGTGACGTGCTTCATAGGAAACTGCAGTGTTGGCAGTCACCCCATGCAGAGGTCCATGCGGAGAGCTTTGCCACCTCCTCTCCTTTTCAGCCTACCCCCCAGTGCTGTGGTAGGAGAGAAGGCAGGCCGCAGGGGGTGGCAGCTGGATGACCCCGCAGCTCGTGGCCGGCAGGGGCAGCAGGGTGGCCAGGGGGTGGCAGCTGGATGACCCCGCAGCTCGTGGCCGGCAGGGGCAGCAGGGTGGCCAGGGGGATGGCAGCTGGATGACCCCGCAGCTTGTGGCCGGCAGGGGCAGCAGGGTGGCCAGGGGGATGGCAGCTGGATGACCCCACAGCTCATGGCTGGCAGGGGCAGCAGGGTGGCCTGGGGGATGGCAGCTGGATGACCCCGCAGCTCGTGGCCGGCAGGGGCAGCAGGGTGGCCAGGGGGATGGCAGCTGGATGACCCCATAGCTCGTGGCCGGCAGGGGCAGTAGGGTGGTCAGGGTCAGAGGCTCAGGTGGTGGTCTTGAGCAGGATTTTTCAAGTGGGAAATGAATGCTGTTGACGATGAGAGATCCCGGATGGCGGCTTAGCTTTGCCAGGTCTCTGCCACGGGCCGAGTGTGGATGAGAGTGCTTTCTGCATCATCTCCCGTTGACTGCTCACGTGTGTGAGGCAGGATTTGTTTGTTCTCTGATTTCCTCCCGTGGGAAGACCCAGCCTGGGGCTGGTAAAGAATGGGATGGGTGCCGGGTGTGGCGGGGCAGAGCCTGCCCTCCACGCTGGAGTGCGCCCGCCTGGGCCCCATGTCCACAGCTGGCCCGTCTCCTTTGGTTTTAGATCACTAGGGTCCTGTAGACCTGGAGCTGGTTGTCATTTGATGACAGCCTGGTGAGCCAGAGGAGCCCGAAAGTCCCCAGCAGAGGCTCCAGCAGGGCAGAATGGGAGCTGTTGCGTTTTGGCTCCTGCTCTGAGACCCGCCCGGCCCCCACTCCTTGTTCTTCAGGTTTGTGGTACACGGGCTGAGCACTGGCGAGCAGTACATCTTCCGGGTCAAGGCCGTCAACGCTGTGGGGGCCAGCGAGAACTCGCAGGAGTCGGAGGTCATCAAGGTCCAGGCTGCCCTCAGTACGTGGTTTTTCTAGGCGTCGTCATTTGTTTGTGAGTGAACGTGGCACTGTCCAGGCCCCTGCAGCGCTGACGGAACTGCTCGCTCTTTGGCCACTTGTCTCTGAAGTGCGGGTGTGAAAAAAATGAGTGTAGGCTCACAACATCCAAATTAGAGATGGCCGACTTCACTGCTGGCCGCTCATTCCCCAACAGCGGCCTGGTGTGGACTCGCTGCTGCGGGACGTCCGCCTCCCCTCCAGACCGTGGCTGCCGTGGACGCGGAACGTCCACCGGTACCTGGTGCTTCGCCGCCTTGGGCCTTCACTCGCAGTCAGAGATGGTGAAAAACGCCTATTTCTAAGCTAAGGTTTTAATTAGCATACGTTAGTGGCCTGGGTGGCTGTTCATTTACCCCTTTTGCACAACACACAACACATCTCCCCCTCAGCCTCTCATCCCCTTCTTAGAACATTTTCAATGGGTTTTGCATTCTAGGCTCACCAATCATACAAAGTACATCAGCCATATTCACCTGAAAAACTGTCTGTTATTGTGATCAAACAAGGTCAGAAGTCCCATTGGAAGTTTCTCTGTCAGTGTACTGTGTCACTGATGGCACGCAGGAATGTTCTGGAACACCAGCGTTAGTCACAGTAGAGTCTTCTCCTGAGAGAAGTGGCCAGCCTCGTGCTTTTCATCCTGTCACATTTGTGAACACTTTGGGAAGCTGAGGCCGTCCCCGGGTGCCATCCCCGGGTTCCCCGCACGGGGCGCTGCGGCTCCGAGGTGGACTCGGGCACAGGCAGCCGTGGTGGGCGTGTCCCGGGAGGAGCCGCGTTCATTTCTGTTCCTCGCTCGGCTCCTCAGGGTCGGGGGACCGGACGTGCTAGGAAGGGACCCCACCCAACTCAGTGCTCAACACAAGGCACAGTGCAGGCCTGCTTGGGTCGGTCCGGGCAGGCGTTAGAGCACATGCAAGTCTACGTTAGCGGATGGGCACCGTGTGCCCTCTGGTGACGGCAGAGCCCCGGGGCTCTGTCCCAGCAGCAGCAGGAGGCTCCTCTGGGTCCTCAGGGGCCGGGAAGGCAGCGTCTCCTCTCCAGGGTCCAGACCAGCGTCCAACAGTCCACTAAGCTCATTTAATCCACAAACTGGCAGGTGCATTTAGGAAGAGCAAGAAATACACTTTCTTGATAGACTTTTTATTGTATAGGTGTCATTTCAGGGGAGTTAGTGTTTGATGAGTCAGGTAAAGACTGCATTTCTTTTTGGGCAGTGCCACCCTTCCTGAGCATACTTTGAAGAAGCTGTTTTTAAGGAGAGACGGGTCCCAGCAGGGTGTTAGAGCGTGTGGGTGGTTGGGGAGCCGAGAGGCGGGGCCAGCCCCCTCCCCTCCGGTCCCGCTGTTCGGGGGTGGGCTGGTGGGGGCATCTGAAGCAGGGGGCTGGGACGCAGCAGCTGACGCTCACGTTTGTGCCCTGGCAGCCGCTCCGTCTCACCCGTACGGGATCACGCTGCTGAACTGTGACGGCCTGTCCATGACGCTCGGCTGGAAGGTGCCCAGGTTCAGTGGCGGCTCAGCCATCCTGGGGTATTACCTGGACAAGCGGGAGGCTCTGCATAAGAACTGGCACGAGGTCAACCCTTCGCCCGTCCAGGACAGGATCTTCACGGTTGGTCTTGAGTTGTTTGTTTCCTTTCCTGGGTGACCACTGCCTCTGGCAGATTCCGGCCGGCTCAGAGTGCAGGGTGTGAGGTACTTTGATATGGGAACAGTGGATTAAAAACCCGGGTGTCGTGAGAGCATGCCGCTGGAAGGGGCTTCGGAAACTTCTCTCCTTGAGAAGCCCTGAAGAAACAGGGAGACAGTGATTGAGTGGATCTGATGCACACCAGCCCTGGCCCTTGTTCTGAGCTGGCCCTGGGCCCCGGGCCCCAAACTCCAGGCCCCTGTCCTGAGCTGGACTCCCCAGCCCTGGGCCATTATTCTGAGCTGGACCCCGGAAGGCAGAGGCCAAGCCACAAGGGTTTCTGTCCTTGGTGCAGAGCCAGTGCCTGGGCTGGAGGTGAACAGGGCCTGGGAAAGAAGGGTGAAGCTCTCTGCCTCACTTCTCTGTTCCCCCTCTGAGCCTCAGTTGCTCACCTGAACCATGAGCTGAGCTGAGCTCAGCTCGCCTGGTGCTCAGCAAGCCTAGAACTCAGCTCTTCCTGTGCTCAGCTAGCCTAGAACTCAGCTCTCCCTGTGCTCAGCTAGCCTAGAACTCACCTCGCCTGGTGCTTAGCTAGCCTAGAACTCAGCTCCCCCGGCACTCAGCTAGCCTAGAACTCAGCTCGTCCGGCGGTCAGCTAGCCTAAAACTCAGCTGGCCCGGCGCTCAGCTAGCCTAGAACTCAGCTGTCCTGGCGCTCAGCTGGCCTAGAACTCAGCTGTCCCGGCGCTCAGCTGGCCTAGAACTCAGCTGTCCCGGCGCTCAGCTAGCCTAGAACTCAGCTGGACTGGTGCTCAGCTAGCCTAGAACTCAGCTGGCCTGGTGCTCAGCTAGCTTAGAACTCAGCACCTGTTGCTCAGCTAGCCTAGAACTCAGCTCTCCCCATGCTCAGCTAGCCTAGAACTCAGCTCACCCAGTGCTCAGATAGCCTAGAACTCAGCTGGTCTTGTGCTCAGCTAGCCTAGAACTCAGCTGGCCCAGCGCTCAGCTAGCCTAGAACTCAGCTGGCCCGGCGCTCAGCTAGCCTAGAACTCAGCTGGCCTGGCGCTCAGCTAGCCTAGAACTCAGCTCTCCCGGCGCTCAGCTAGCCTAGAACTCAGCTCTCCTGGTGCTCAGCTAACCTAGAACTCAGCTGGCCCGGTGCTCAGCTAGCCTAGAACTCAGCTCACCTGGTGCTCATGCACCTCATCATCCCTGTGGAAGGTGTGGGCTCACAAGAGGCTGGAATGAGGGGTTTAGGAGGTCTTCGGAGCCTCACCCTGGCCTCTCAGAGAATTCTGCTTTGTGACGCCGGTCCCCAGCTCGGCTCTGGTGAGGGGGAGCCTGGCGCCCGTGTGTCCCGTGTTGATCTCTGGCCTTCGGTGGGAACTCCCTGGCCTTCAGGTGTAAGTTGCCTCTGTGAGGGTGGCTGAGGCTAGACGTACGAGGACAGAGTGGGGTTGTCTGCACCCCGGGACTTGTGATGTTTGTGGGTGTCTGCCACCCCCCCACGGCCTCACCCTGGCATCGGGCAGGGCAGAGGTGGGACAGATGTGGAGGCTGCCTGTGACTGGCCAGCCTGAAGATGGCCTTCAGCTGGCCGAGTCCCCTTGGCTGACCCGGTCCCTTCTGCCAGCCGTCCGCTTTCCAAACCCGTCACAAACCCTCGCCCCCATTGAATGCAATGCCTCCTCTATTTCTGGAAGCCAGTAATCACAACCAGAATGTGCACAGGTGGAGGGCTTGACGGAAGGCTTGCTCTACGAGTTCAAAATCACTGCCTTCAACCTGGCTGGGATGGGTCAGCCATCGGACCCCAGCGAGCACTTCAAGTGTGAGGCCTGGACAGCGCCAGAGCCCGGTGAGTCGTTGTGCAGTGGGCGGCCCCCGCTATGGGCTGGCCAGGTCCCATGCGGGCTGACCGGAGGGGCTCTCCTGTGAGCAGGCCACTGTCCACATGATGGATCGTGGTGGGACTCGAGATGCCCGCCACGGGGTGGGGGGCAGTCTGGGTCAGGTGCAGCCAGGGGCAGGAGGTGGCAGCCGAGGACACCTCTGTGGGAGGAGGGGGGCCGAGCATGGCCCAGGGACAGCAGCGTGCCATAGGCCCCAGACCCAGGACCCAGGCCTGGCCACCTGCTCCTCAGGAGCCTCAAGACACCAAGGGGAGGGGACGGTCCCGGCAGGGGGGGACGGGGCCCAGGCAGGTCACCGTGGAGACGGCCTTGCTGCGTGGGGCTTGCGTCCTCCAGACCCTGGGGACCTGAGGCCTCTGGTCCTGAGAAGCACTTCTGTACCTTAAAACTGCATCTGCAAGCTCTCCAGTGCGGAGCCCCTGCTTTCTTTGTGCCTAGTTGTTCAGAAAACAAAATGGAAGAGGCAGCGTGTTCATAATTTGAGGGAGAAAAGCTAACCCTGAAGCTGTTCTGTAGGCCCTCTGCTTCCCACTTCCTTCCTTGCTTCCCCTTTCCTTCCCTCCCCTCAGTTCTTCCTTCCTTTCTTTTTCTGACTTACCTTACATGATTTTTGGCCCCTTAGAAAGGGAGCCAAGTTGTAGAAGTGGGTGGGTGTGCAGAGCATTCTTGCAGCTCAGTATGGCCTGGGAGCAGCACGTGCAGGCTGAGGGGCAATCTCGATAAGGGTGCCACCGCTCCCCTCCCTGACTCCGCAAAGCCTGTCTGGAACTGTGGGCTTTGTGGTCTTTGGAGCCTGGAGCTGTGGCTGTGGTGGCTGCAGGGGGAGGATGGGGGTGGAGCTGAGGACATGGTCCTGGGGGGGATGGGGATGGGGGTGGAGCTGTGGACATGGTCCTGGGGGGGATGGGGATGGGGGGGCAGGGCTGTGGCTGTGGTGCTGGGGGGCAGAGCTGTGGCCGTGGTGCTGGGGGGCAGGGCTGTGGCCGTGGTGCTGGGGGGCAGGGCTGTGGCTGTGTTGCTGGGGGGCAGAGCTGTGGCTGTGGTCCTGGGGGGGCAGAGCTGTGGCTGTGGTCCTGGGGGGCAGAGCTGTGGCCGTGGTGCTGGGGGGCAGAGCTGTGGCTGTGGTGCTGGGGGGCAGGGCTGTGGCTGTGGTCCTGGGGGGCAGGGCTGTGGCTGTGGTGCTGGGGGGCAGAGCTGTGGACATGGTGCTGGGGGGCAGAGCTGTGGCTGTGGTCCTGGGGGGGTCAGAGCTGTGGCTGTGGTGCTGGGGGGCAGGGCTGTGGCTGTGGTGCTGGGGGGCAGGGCTGTGGCCGTGGTGCTGGGGGGCAGAGCTGTGGCCGTGGTGCTGGGGGGGCAGAGCTGTGGCTGTGGTGCTGGGGGGCAGAGCTGTGGCTGTGGTGCTGGGGGGCAGAGCTGTGGCTGTGGTCCTGGGGGGCAGAGCTGTGGCTGTGGTCCTGGGGGGCAGAGCTGTGGACATGGTGCTGGGGGGCAGAGCTGTGGCTGTGGTCCTGGGGGGGCAGAGCTGTGGCTGTGGTCCTGGGGGGCAGAGCTGTGGCCGTGGTGCTGGGGGACAGAGCTGTGGCTGTGGTGCTGGGGGGCAGAGCTGTGGACATGGTGCTGGGGGGCAGAGCTGTGGACATGGTCCTGGGGGGCAGAGCTGTGGCCGTGGTGCTGGGGGGCAGAGCTGTGGCTGTGGTGCTGGGGGGCAGAGCTGTGGCTGTGGTGCTGGGGGGCAGAGCTGTGGCCGTGGTGCTGGGGGGCAGAGCTGTGGCTGTGGTGCTGGGGGGCAGGGCTGTGGCCGTGGTGCTGGGGGGCAGAGCTGTGGCTGTGGTGCTGGGGGGCAGGGCTGTGGCCGTGGTCCTGGGGGGCAGGGCTGTGGCCGTGGTCCTGGGGGGCAGAGCTGTGGCAGTGGTGCTGGGGGGCAGAGCTGTGGCCGTGGTGCTGGGGGGCAGGGCTGTGGCCGTGGTGCTGGGGGGCAGAGCTGTGGCCGTGGTGCTGGGGGGCAGAGCTGTGGCTGTGGTGCTGGGGGGCAGAGCTGTGGCTGTGGTGCTGGGGGGGCAGAGCTGTGGCCATGGTGCTGGGGGGCAGAGCTGTGGCTGTGGTGCTGGGGGGCAGGGCTGTGGCCGTGGTGCTGGGGGGCAGAGCTGTGGCTGTGGTGCTGGGGGGCAGGGCTGTAGCCGTGGTCCTGGGGGGCAGAGCTGTGGCTGTGGTGCTGGGGGGCAGGGCTGTGGCCGTGGTGCTGGGGGGCAGGGCTGTAGCCGTGGTCCTGGGGGGCAGGGCTGTGGCTGTGGTGCTGGGGGGCAGAGCTGTGGCTGTGGTGCTGGGGGGCAGAGCTGTGGCTGTGGTGCTGGGGGGCAGGGCTGTGGCTGTGGTGCTGGGGGGCAGGGCTGTGGCCGTGGTGCTGGGGGGCAGGGCTGTGGCCGTGGTGCTGGGGGGCAGGGCTGTGGCCGTGGTGCTGGGGGGCAGAGCTGTGGCCATGGTGCTGGGGGGCAGAGCTGTGGCTGTGGTGCTGGGGGGCAGAGCTGTGGCTGTGGTCCTGGGGGGCAGGGCTGTGGCTGTGGTGCTGGGGGGCAGGGCTGTGGCCGTGGTGCTGGGGGGCAGGGCTGTGGCCGTGGTGCTGGGGGGCAGGGCTGTGGCCGTGGTGCTGGGGGGACAGCTCAGTGGAGGCACCGAGAGGCTCCCCCCTCCCCCCACCAGCAGCGTTTCTCTCCGAGGTCTGCTGGCTCACGAGGAGGTGGCTGGAATCACTGGGCACACCACCATCACCCAGAATCCCGGTGGGCTGCAGGGGCCCCGGCTGGCACCTTCCAGCCAGGGTTATTGGGAGGCCTCTGCCAGGCTGCAGTAGGCTCGGGGGGGCTGGGGTCCCGGAGTGGCACATGCATGGTCCTGTGTGCCCCCAGGTCCCGCCTACGACCTGACGTTCTGCGAGGTCCGGAACACCTCGCTGGTCATGCTGTGGAAGGCCCCGGTGTACGCCGGCAGCAGCCCGGTCTCGGGGTACCTCGTGGACTTCAAGGAAGAGGATGCCGGCGAATGGAAGACCGTGACTGAGGCGGCAACTCCAAATCGCTATCTGAAGGTGATTCGCTCATTCCGTATTTTCTTTTATCTGAAAACACTTTTGGTTCCTGTAGGAAACTGGCTCAGGTCCCCAGCTGCCTGGCACAGTGCCCTGAGGAGCTGGGGCGGGAGACTCCACAGGGCAGCGAGTGCCGGAGGGGCGGCCCCAGCCACACACACCGCACACGCTGGGGCCCGTGCCCGTGTCACGTACACCGGGGTATGTGTCCGTGTCTGTGCACTGGGGTACGTGTACATGCATGTGTCATGTACACTGGAGTATGTGACCGTGTCTGTGTCATGTGCACCAGGGTACGTGTACATGCCCGTGTCATGTACACTGGGGTCCGTGTCTGTGTCATGTACACCGGGGTATGTGTCTGTGTCTGTGCACTGGGGTACGTGTACATGCATGTGTCATGTACACTGGGGTCCGTGTCCGTGTCATGTATACCAGGGTATGTATCTGTGTCATGTACACTGGGGTACGTGTACATGCATGTGTCATGTACACTGGGGCCCGTGCCCGTGTCACGTACACCGGGGTATGTGTCCGTGTCTGTACACTGGGGTACGTGTACATACATGTGTCATGTACAATGGGGTCTGTGTACGTGTCATGTACACCAGGGTATGTGTCTGTGTCATGTACATTGGGGGTATGTGTACATGCATGTGTCATGTACACTGGGGTCCGTGTCTGTGTCATGTATACCAGGGAATGTGTCTGTGTCATGTACACTGGGATATGTGTACATACATGTGTCATGTACACTGGGGTCCGTGCCCGTGTCACGTACACCAGGGTATGTATCTGTGTCATGTACACTGGGGTACGTGTCCATACATGTGTCATGTACAATGGGGTCCGTGTCCGTGTCATGTACACCAGGGTATGTATCTGTGTCATGTACACTGGGGTATGTGTACATACATGTGTCACGTACACCGGGGTATGTGTCCGTGTCACGTACACCAGGGTATGTGTCTGTGTCATGTACACTGGGGTATGTGTCCATACATGTGTCGTGTGCAATGGGATAGCCCACGTACCTGTTGTGTTTGCTCAGCTGCCCTGGTTCGGAGACCTCCGTGTGGTTTGGCTGAGGCATATTCTGCACGGAGAAGCCCGCTTTCCCTCCCTTTGAGAGAGGCCCACAGCTGGGCCAGGCCCTGCTGTCCCGGGGCCAGGACAGACTGTGCCCACGCAGGACAGCTGCACAGTGTGAAGCGGGCTCTTTAGATGAGTCCAGCCACGACGCAGGTGCCCGTGTGCACACATGTACACATAAGGAGAGACTTAATTCTGATGTGGCCACAGGATGCTTTTTCAGTTAATAGTCATGTGTAGATATGACTTAGTCCCATAGGACTATGTTAAACATCAACACCAAACCGCAACCAGTCAGTAGGATTTAACTTTGTGTTTTCTTCAGCGGAGGAAGAGTGAGCAAAGGAGGTTCCCAGATCCGTTTGTTCCTGCCTGCGAGGCTGTGTGGCTGAGGATCTCCTTTGCTCTCTGCTGCTCTGTTGCTCCGTCCAGCTTTTCAACCAGAAACCGAGTCTGGCCAGAAGGAAGGCGTGCCCTCACGGGGGCGGGGGCGGGGCGGAGGCAGTGTTGTTTGTGGTCTCCCGCCTCACCCCTTGCCCCTGTTTTCTCAAGGTGTGTGACCTGCAGCAGGGCCAGACCTATGTCTTCAGAGTCCGCGCGGTGAACGCCAGCGGGCCCGGGAAGCCCTCAGACACCTCGGAGCCAGTGTTCGTGGAGGCCCGGCCAGGTGAGCCTGGCCCCTCCGCCGGGACAGAGATTACTGTGTGGCACTTGCGGCAGGCAGCGGGTGTGTGTGCAGGTGTGGCTTCAGCCCTTCCACTGGCTGGCCAAGCTGAGCAGGGCCTCTTCCACCCCTGCGTTCTAAGACACAGATCCTGACTGGCAGGAGCTGGGTCGGGTGACTGTGTGCATCAGAACACAGCAAACTGTGCAAGCACCTCCACCTGGGCAAAAACCAAGCAGCCACTGTGGAGACGGAGGCGCGGGTGGTGTGAAGCTGGCTGTGTGTGGGCCACCTCCTGCCCCAAAAAGGAATGCGGAGGGCATGGCATTCCTGAGGCTCCTGGGCTCTCGTCCACAGGCACCAAGGAGGTCAGCGCCGGTGTGGACGAGCAGGGTGACATCTACCTGGAGTTTGACTGCCAGGAAATGACCGATGCTTCCCTGTTCACGTGGTGCAAGTCCTACGAAGAGATCGCCGACGAGGACAGGTTCAGGGTCCACACAGAGGGCGATCGGTGAGTCCCCTGGAGCACGGGAGCTGCACCCGTGAATCTAGGAGCAGCCAGCAGACACGGCTGACGCCCTCCTCTCCTCCTTGTTTTCAGCTCACGTCTGTACTTTATGGCTCCAGATAAAGTGGACATAGGGACATACTCTGTGTCCGTAAGTGACACGGACGGTGTGTCCTCCAGCTTTGTTTTGGACGAAGAAGGTAAGAGCATCCTGGCACAGGCCCATTGCTTTTTACCTCTCCCACCTTCTTATTTATGCTTGCTGTAGCTGGGATGGCAGGGACATACAAGCATGCCCTTATTTTTCCATGGAGATGGGGGTCTCTGAACTTCAGACTAGGCTTGAACTGTGTTCTCCTGATATTTGCCTTTTGATTGGTTGGAACGTTAGGCATGAGTCACCATGATATCCAATGAGAAAAATGATTTCTCATGTCCAAACCAAACCCCAAGGGTAGTTTACACTTGCTCAGAAAGAAATCTACTGTTTTCAGTTCAGATAGGATGTTATACCTTGATAACCATCCTCTAATTTCTGAGTTCTAATTCTAGGAAGGGAAAAGGGAATTAAGGAAGAAAGGAGGTAAAAAGAAAGAGAAGACAGAAGGAAAAGAAGTCAGGAAGACTTAGGAAGTAATTAAGGAAAGGAGAGAAGGAGAAGGAAGGAAGGAAGCAAAGGAGCGAAGCAGAGACATTGAGAAATGGCTTAGAGCTTTAATTTCTCTGAGCTTTCTCCGGAGCAGAGCAGCTTGGTTTTCCTGTTTGCTGGGGGGTGGGGGTGGGGGTGGGGGCGTCGGGACCATGGGAGGGATGTGCATTTGCTTCAGTGACATCCAAGAAGGACATTGGGGAAGGAAGGAAACTCATGGACAGCACAGTCCAGCTGGCAGGTTGGCTTTAGCAAAGAGCTCCACAGAGTGGACCAGAGACCAGGTGGGCAGCAGGGAGAGGAGCCCTTGGGCTGTCCCTGCGGAGGCCGGTGTCCCAGGGCTGCTGCCTGCGGGGCCCAGCTGCCGGCCTCAGCCCCGCCGGCCTCAGCCCCGCCGGCCTCAGCCCGCCGGCCTCAGCCCCGCCGGCCTCAGCCCCGCCGGCCTCAGCCCCGCCGGCCTCAGCTCTTCACAGGCTCCGTCTCCTCCCACTTCCCTTCTCTGATCTGCCAACTAACTTCCGTGGTGCCGCACCTCGGTTGGTTGGTGATGGAGTGAGTGAGTGGCCACGAGCCTCTTGTTACGCGCTTGGGGAAGCAGCTTCTGGCACAGTCCCCACGGGCATCACCCCGTCAGCCTCACTCCTGCTTAGCTTTGCTGCTGTTCACAAACTGCTGAGTGTCCAGCTCAAAGCCAACCACTGTGTTTTCCCCTTACCTTTAGAGCTGGAGCGTTTGCTGGCACTGAGCAACGAGATAAAGAACCCCAGTGAGTATGCACGCAGGGCGTGTGCGCAGGGGCCGCCCCAGCAAGGACGCGCGCAGGCGCCGTGAGGCCTTGGCTGCGGGGATGGCCCCCCGGCCTGTGCCCGCACACCTCGGGACCCCCAGACCTGTGCCCATACACACCCCGGGCCCCCCGGCCTGTGCCCGCACACCTCGGGACCCCCACACCTGTGCCCATACACACCCCGGGCCCCCCGGCCTGTGCCCGCACACCTCGGGCCCCCCAGACCTGTGCCCGCACACCTCGGGCACCCCGGCCTGTGCCCGCACACCTCGGGCCCCCCAGACCTGTGCCCGCACACCTCGGGCCCCCCAGACCTGTGCCCATACACACCTCGGGCCCGCCGGCCTGTGCCCGCACACCCCGGGACCCCCAGACCTGTGCCCATACACACCCCGGGCCCCCCGGCCTGTGCCCGCACACCTCGGGACCCCCAGACCTGTGCCCATACACACCCCGGGCCTCCCGGCCTGTGCCCGCACACCTCGGGACCCCCACACCTGTGCCCATACACACCCCGGGCCCCCCGGCCTGTGCCCACACACCTCGGGACCCCCACACCTGTGCCCATACACACCCCGGGCACCCCGGCCTGTGCCCGCACACCTCGGGACCCCCACACCTGTGCCCATACACACCCCGGGCCCCCCGGCCTGTGCCCGCACACCTCGGGACCCCCAGACCTGTGCCCATACACACCCCGGGCCCCCCCGGCCTGTGCCCGCACACCTCGGGACCCCTAGACCTGTGCCCATACACACCCCGGGCCCCCCGGCCTGTGCCCGCACACCTCGGGCCCCCCAGACCTGTGCCCACACACACCTCGGGCCCCCCGGCCTGTGCCCGCAAACCTCGGGACCCCCAGACCTGTGCCCATACACACCTCGGGCCCCCCGGCCTGTGCCCGCACACCTCGGGCCCCCCAGACCTGTGCCCATACACACCTCGGGACCCCCACACCTGTGCCCATACACACCCCGGGCCCCCCGGCCTGTGCCCGCACACCTCGGGCCCCCCAGACCTGTGCCCACACACACCCCGGGCCCCCCGGCCTGTGCCCGCACACCTCGGGACCCCCAGACCTGTGCCCATACACACCCCGGGCCCCCCGGCCTGTGCCCGCACACCTCGGGACCCCCACACCTGTGCCCATACACACCTCGGGACCCCCACACCTGTGCCCATACACACCCCGGGCCCCCCGGCCTGTGCCCGCACACCTCGGGACCCCCACACCTGTGCCCATACACACCCCGGGCCCCCCGGCCTGTGCCCGCACACCTCGGGACCCCCACACCTGTGCCCATACACACCCCGGGCCCTCCGGCCTGTGCCCGCACACCCCGGGACCCCCAGACCTGTGCCCATACACACCCCGGGCCCCCCGGCCTGTGCCCACACACCTCGGGCCCCCCAGACCTGTGCCCATACACACCCCGGGCCCCCCGGCCTGTGCCCGCACACCTCGGGACCCCCAGACCTGTGCCCATACACACCCCGGGCCCCCCGGCCTGTGCCCACACACCTCGGGACCCCCAGACCTGTGCCCATACACACCCCGGGCCCCCCAGACCTGTGCCCATACACACCCCGGGCCCCCCGGCCTGTGCCCGCACACCTTGGGACCCCCAGACCTGTGCCCATACACACCCCGGGCCCCCCAGACCTGTGCCCATACACACCCCGGGCCCCCCGGCCTGTGCCCGCACACCTCGGGCCCCCCACACCTGTGCCCATACACACCCCGGGCCCCCCGGCCTGTGCCCGCACACCTCGGGCCCCCTAGACCTGTGCCCATACACACCCCGGGCCCCCCGGCCTGTGCCTGCACACCTCGGGCCCCCTAGACCTGTACCCACACACACCCCGGGCCCCCCGGCCTGTGCCTGCACACCTCAGGCCCCCTAGACCTGTGCCCATACACACCCCGGGCCCCCTGACCTGTGCCCACACACACCCCGGGCCCCCTGACCTGTGCCCACACACACCTCGGGCCCCCCACACCTGTGCCCATACACACCCCGGGCCCCCAGACCTGTGCCCCTCACACCCTGGGCCCCCAGACCTGTGCCCACACACACCCCGGGCCCCCTGACCTGTGCCCACACACACCCCGGGCCCCCTGACCTGTGCCCACACACCCCGGGCCCCCTGACCTGTGCCCACACACCCCGGGCCCCCAGACCTGTGCCCATACACACCCCGGGTCCCCTGACCTGTGCCCACACACACCCCGGGTCCCCTGACCTGTGCCCACACACACCCTGGGCCCCCAGACCTGTGCCCCACACCCCGGGCCCCCTGACCTGTGCCCACACACACCCCGGGCTCCCTGACCTGTGCCCACACACACCCTGGGCCCCCTGACCTGTGCCCACACACACCCTGGGCCCCCTGCCCTGTACCCCTCACACCCCGGGCCCCCTGACCTGTGCCCACACACACCCCGGGCCCCCTGACCTGTGCCCACACACACCCCGGGCCCCCTGACCTGTGCCCACACACACCCCGGGCCCCCTGACCTGTGCCCACACACCCCGGGCCCCCCGGCCTGTGCCCGCACACCTCGGGACCCCCACACCTGTGCCCATACACACCCCGGGCCCCCCGGCCTGTGCCCGCACACCTCGGGACCCCCACACCTGTGCCCATACACACCCCGGGCCCCCCGGCCTGTGCCCGCACACCTCGGGCCCCCCAGACCTGTGCCCATACACACCTCGGGACCCCCACACCTGTGCCCATACACACCCCGGGCCCCCCGGCCTGTGCCCGCACACCTCGGGACCCCCACACCTGTGCCCATACACACCCCGGGCCCCCCGGCCTGTGCCCGCACACCTCGGGACCCCCACACCTGTGCCCATACACACCCCGGGCCCTCCGGCCTGTGCCCGCACACCCCGGGACCCCCAGACCTGTGCCCATACACACCCCGGGCCCCCCGGCCTGTGCCCACACACCTCGGGCCCCCCAGACCTGTGCCCATACACACCCCGGGCCCCCCGGCCTGTGCCCGCACACCTCGGGACCCCCAGACCTGTGCCCATACACACCCCGGGCCCCCCGGCCTGTGCCCACACACCTCGGGACCCCCAGACCTGTGCCCATACACACCCCGGGTCCCCCAGACCTGTGCCCATATACACCCCGGGCCCCCCGGCCTGTGCCCGCACACCTCGGGCCCCCCACACCTGTGCCCATACACACCCCGGGCCCCCCGGCCTGTGCCCGCACACCTCGGGCCCCCTAGACCTGTGCCCATACACACCCCGGGCCCCCCGGCCTGTGCCTGCACACCTCGGGCCCCCTAGACCTGTACCCACACACACCCCGGGCCCCCCGGCCTGTGCCTGCACACCTCGGGCCCCCTAGACCTGTGCCCATACACACCCCGGGCCCCCTGACCTGTGCCCACACACACCCCGGGCCCCCTGACCTGTGCCCACACACACCTCGGGCCCCCCACACCTGTGCCCATACACACCCCGGGCCCCCAGACCTGTGCCCCTCACACCCTGGGCCCCCAGACCTGTGCCCACACACACCCCGGGCCCCCTGACCTGTGCCCACACACACCCCGGGCCCCCTGACCTGTGCCCACACACCCCGGGCCCCCTGACCTGTGCCCACACACCCCGGGCCCCCAGACCTGTGCCCATACACACCCCGGGTCCCCTGACCTGTGCCCACACACACCCCGGGCCCCCTGACCTGTGCCCACACACACCCCGGGCCCCCAGACCTGTGCCCACACACCCCGGGCCCCCAGACCTGTGCCCATACACACCCCGGGCCCCCCAGACCTGTACCCACACACACCCTGGGCCCTAGGCCTGTGCCCACACACACCCTGGGCCCCCGGACCTGTGCCCACACACACCCCGGGCCCCCAGACCTGTGCCCACACACACCCCGGGCCCCCTGACCTGTGCCCACACACACCCCGGGTCCCCAGACCTGTGCCCCACACCCCGGGCCCCAAGAGCGTCCCCAGGATGGGCGCCCCCAGCCGAGGTGCTCGGGAGCTGCCGAAGGGGTCCAGAGATTTTAGGGACCCCGCAGCCGAGAGGCTGACACAGGCTTTGGCTTCACTGGTTGCCTTCCAGGGCGGTGCGCAAGAGCCCCGGGCTCAGCGTCTCTCTAAGGGACATGGGGGCCAGGCCTGCCCGACGCGGCCCTCCCCAGCCTGCCCTCTGAACTCCCCCGCCCTCCCTCTGAAGTCCAGCCTCTCTTCCCCCAGCCCTCCCTCTGAAGTCCTGCCCCTCTCTCCCCAGCTCTCCCTCTGAAGTCGGACTTAGCCTATGAGATTTTGGAAAAGGGCCAGGTTCGCTTCTGGCTCCAGGCTGAGCCGCTGTCTGCCGAGGCCAGCTTCCGCTTCGTGGTGAATGACAGGGAGGTCTCGGACAGCGAGGTGAGTTTGTGTGTGCGCTTCCAGGTTATTCCTCCACACAGCACATTTGCACGTGCTCGGCCTCAGAGTGCTCCCCTTAAGACAGGACCTGGCCCAGGCCGGCCCTGAACTCACAATTCCCCGTGTCCATCTCACAAGTGCCTGGACAGTGGGCGGTGCCCGCGGGTGAGTGTGCAAAGAACCCTGAGACCCACTGTCCTCCCTGGGGGCGGGTGTCGAGAGGGCTGTGCCTGTGTTTGCTGTGTCTCCTGCCCAGGAACGAGTGCACTCTGGGAGACTGCTCCCTGGGTCTCTGTTCAGGATGCACTGGAGATGGCCCAGCCCAGCGACTTTCCCTCTTCTGCTCCTTTCCCTCCGTGCCAGTGGTGCTGCTGGCAGAGCTAGCCCGCTCCATCCTGATCACATAAACACGGCGTGGCTCGTGACCAGGCTCACGGTGCTCCGGGGAGTGTGTGCAGATGCTCAGCACACGTGGTCAGCACTGACTCCTCGTGCTCACGGTGGTGGGTGGGACCGCGTGTGGCTCGCGTCATCCCCCAGCCCTGTGAATGGGAGGGAATTGTGCATCGCTCCCTGGTGGGTGGGAAACCATGGTGTGCACGCTGGATCTGAGCCAGCATGGTCTCATCAAGGCGTCAGAGACACCTCTGAGCAGAGGTTGAGCCGTGAAACAGGGTTTAAAGGAACTGTAGCTTTATAGTCAGTCGTGGGGCTTGAACTCTGCCTGGGCGCTGTCCCTCAGCTCTTCAGCTTAAGGAGAGCGCTCTACCACTTGAGCCACACAGCGCCACTTTGGGTTTTCTGTTGGTTAATTGGAGATAAGAGTCTTATGGACTTTTCCTGCCCGGGCTGTCTTTGAACTGCTATCCTCAGATCTCAGCCTCCTGAGTAGCTAGGATGACAGGCGTGAGCCACCAGCACCCAACTGCAGAACATGTTTTTTAAAATTTTATTTTATTTTCCCCGTACCATCCCTTCCCTTCCACCTCCACAACTACCCCTCCCCCCAATTGCAAAGTTTGTTTTTCAACATAGTGTCTTGTACATCTCATTGTTACAATGGGTCAATCTGTATCCCTATTTAAACATTTTGTTTTTTCCCTTCCCCTCCCCAAATTATACCAACATCAAATACAGTGAAAATGGGGGTTATACTGTGAGAGAGGGACATACAAAGCAGCAAAAAAATCACATGGTACCTTATAAATATGTTAGAAACAATCACATGAAAGAAAAAAAACATTTGAATACATATCTTAGGGTTCATTTTCCTAACATCACCTTATCTGACCTTTTCTGCTTGACTCAGACATATACTAGTTATTGCAAATAAGGGAAACCATGGGACCTATGTTTCTTTGGGCCTGGCTTACTTCACTTAGTAGAATTTTCCCGTCTTTCCATTTCCTAACAAATGGGGCGATGTCATTCTTTCTGATGGAGGCATAGAATTCCGTTGTGTATATAGACCACATTTTCTTGATCATTGCAGAACATCTTTTAATGCACATTTGCTTCAAACATGGTATCATCACTAATCTTTTGGAATATGGCTGCACTATTTCACATGTGTAATTAGCAGTCCATGGGTGACTTTCACACGTGAAGACTGACACTTTTGTAAGCGTCACATGAAAGCCTGTTGCTTCGGACTTGTGAGATCGCTGGGCTTTCTCTTGCTCATGGCGTCCTGTGTTACAAGGGCATGTCACGACAGTCAGGGAGTCCTTTCGGGAAAAGCAGAGATTTGGAGACTGTGATATTAGGATGTCACCACCAGCAGAGCGAGCTAGCAGACAGACTTTTATGTGGTCGTTCGGTGTTCATTGCTGACTAGGTGCTCGATGAGGCACTTTAGGGTTGCAGAGAGGAGGGAGGCACAGCCCTACTTCCCTGTGGCTGGCAGGACAGACGGGTGCCAGGAAGGAAGTCCCTGAGGGCACCCAGCCTCCCCCACGGGTGTTGGAGCTGGCCGGTGTTCGGGGAGCACAGAGCCAGCGCAGGGACGCTGCCAGGAATGAGACTCGGACGCCAGAGAAGCCCGAAGCAGCCCCGAACTCTTCAAGAAGAGTGAGCGGAGCAGGCAGGCTGAGCAGACTTCCGTGGACGGTCCCTTCTGTGGACGGGGCCTCCCGGGCTGTCTGTCGCCTGCAGGGCACTGGAAGTTCGGGAGCGATGGGATTGAGGCTGCACAGGGTCTCATTTGTCTGTCCTCCGATGGCCCGCTGCTGGTCCGAGCTGCCTGTAGCTGTGGGAGGAGCTCTGCTGTGGGTCACTTCGTGCTGTTTGCTCTGCAGGCCTCCACCAGCGGGCCCTTGAGCCCTGCTTTGGCTGGCTTGCTTCTCACAGGTGGCTGTCCTTGGGCAGCGAGTGTTCTGTCGAGAGAGTCCCGTGGGCTCATGTTCTCCACTCAGAACCCAGTCTGCGTTTGGTGGTTGGTTTAGGTGGTTCAGGTGATGGAGGTCCATTCTGTGGCTGTGTGCACCATTCCTGAAGATCCCACAGCAGATTCAGCCATTACACATGGAGGAAAAATTTCACTATATAATTCTCGATGTCCTCCATTGCTTACAGACACACAGAATTAAATGTGACAAGCCAACCGGACTTATTGAGATGGTGATGGACCGATTTACCATTGAAAATGAAGGCACCTACACCGTGCAGATTCAAGACGGGAAAGCCAAAAACCAGTCTTCTCTGGTCCTTATTGGAGATGGTATGCTAGACTGAACTATTTTCATGCCCATAAAAGTAATTCAAAGAAAATTCTCTTGATGGAGAGAAGCAGACGTATTTCCTCTCTTTTCTTTTTTCTTGAATATTGAATTTAGCATTCAAGGCTGTCCTAGAAGAGGCTGAATTTCAGAGGAAAGAATTTCTCAGGAAGCAAGGTAAGGAGCCTCACGTACTTGTTGGAAGCAGACCCCTCAGCATCCCGGTGACTTTGAAAGCGTTTACAATGGTTGAAAGTGTAGCTGTTTCCAGCTGGGCACTTGCTCTTTATAGTTCTACTCTCTGCTAGTCTTGCTTCAGGCTTCAGATGCTTCTGACCCATGGTCTGATGTTCCTACTTCCTGTCACTGTCCTCATCAAGAGACTGCTCAGTGGGCCAGGCTCTGAGCTCTGAGTAACTGCACCCTTCTGAGAGACAGTTCTTCCCAAATACACATCTTCTTCTTTTACTTAACACACTAACAATTCCATGTAGTGCACTAGGCTCATCTGTGCATTCCTTATTTGCAACCATCCAGCTCATCCAGACCTGGCCCCGGCCTGGCACTGTGGCTGGGCACACACACTTCCTGCTCCTCTTTCCCCAGCCCACGCTGCTCCTCCTGGGCTCTCCTGCCTGGCACAGTCCCTCAGGGGAGGCTCCACCGGAGCTCCAAGCCCCCCCTGAGCCGACCTTGCCGAGTGTATTGATGTGGTGGAAGTCACTGCACACTTTCTGTGTGTGTTTGTGTTGAATGAGATAGTGGCATTATCGTACACTTAGTGTAAGGAGAAGTGATAAACAGTTGAGAATCATTAATCCACTTTTTTTTTTTTTTTACAATTTCAAATACTGTACGAATGAAGAACGTTGCTAGGTGGAGCTGTTCTTTTTTCTCATGTCTAGCAGTACGCTTTCTCTGGAGGCTTCGTTTACTATGTGGTGGACGTTTGGTTAGACACAGATGCCTTGAGAGAGAGCACAGTGATTTCAGCAGACTTTTTGTTGAAGAGCAGTGGCATGCCCAGCCCCAAGCAGGGTCCAGACAGTGGCATGCCCAGTCCCAAGCAGGGTCCAGACACGTGCCCGTAGGAGGGGGCGGGCAGGAGGGGCGGGCCTGCAGGAGGGGCGGGGCCACAGGAGGGGCAGAAGAGGCAGGAGAAGTGGGGGCTGGGAGAAGGGGGCAGCAGGGTCAGGCCCAGCGGAAACTGGTGTTGATGCTGTGGCTGTGAACCGTGTCTCGGTTCCGCCCTGCAGAGCGCAGGGAAGGAGTGAGTAAACACACCTGCGTGTGTTCACACAGGCCGTACGAGCGCGTGCGTCTGTGGCTCGTGTGACTCGGCCTCTTCTCCCAGGCCCTCACGCAGGCCGTACAAGCGCATGCATCTGTGACTCCTGTAACTTGGCCCCCTCTCCCCAGGCCCTCACTTCGCTGAGTATTTGCATTGGGATGTCACCGACGAGTGTGAAGTCCGCCTCCTCTGTAAGGTGAGGCCCATTCCCGGGGGTCCGGGGCTGGGGCCCTCAGGGGCTGGCAGGGGCCGTGGGCTCAGCCTGTCCACGCTGCGCACCTGCCGTGGCCCGGCACCACTGCTCCTGGATGAGCGAATGGGTCCGTTCTCCACAGAGAGACTGCCGTGTTGGGTGTGCGAAGGCAGACGAAAGAGGTGGGTTACTGTATAGAAATAAACACGCTGCGTTTGAGCAGGTGAACTTTCCAGAAGGTGTGCCGCGGTAAGACACAGCCATTGGTTGGTGAGAGGACCTCACCTTGAGATTAAGGGGCCTCTGGGGAGCAGAACACAGCCTAAGTTGTGTTTTAAGGATTCAGTGGTAAGATCAGCTTTGATCTTTGCTAAGCTCATTTTAAGTGACAAACCTCCTGTTGACGGAGAGGCAGCTCGGTGTGTGTCCCGTCGGGGAGCCTGGCTGAGCAGCGACCTTCGGAGGCGCAGTGGACAGGGCCATCGAGCAGGGGTGGGGTCTGGGTCCCAGGACTTCACAGGAGATTGACCGGATTAAATTAACTTTCCCTGGGCCTCCCTAACCATCGTTAGTGGTGACAATTGATCTGTAACTTCCCATCACACCCTTTTTTGTTGTGAAAGCCAGGGATAAAGCTTTGATATTTAAAAATCCCCACAGATGTCATAAATTAATTATAGAAAAATGCTTAGGTTTTTAATTTGTTTTGGCGGTGAGTAGATCATTTCTGTGTTGATATGTTCAGAAGGAAGACTAAGAAATGTTTGGGAAAGAAAAGAAGTTGAGTTGCAAAGAGGTTAGAGAGGCTTGTGCAGACCTCGCCCCCAGACAGGAAGCTCAGTGGTATTCAAAGCCAGGAGAGCGGCAGGGCCCAGGAGGGAAGCGTCTGCCCCCTTGCTGTGTGCGCTGGAAGAAGCGATTTTCTCAAGGGATTACCTGTGGAAAGTCGACCTGTGTTCAGATTTCTAGATGGGACTCAAAGCTGGGTTTGTTAGTGGTCTAGTCCTGCAGCCTGGGAGGAAGGGCAGTGGCCGGACTCCCTCTTTCGTGACTCAGGGTGGGGCAGGGCCCTGGTGGTGCTGAACCACAGATAAATGCTTCAGGGAACTGGGGCTCCCGACTCCTGTGTTCATAGACCCTGAACACAAACATCAGAGAACCCAGATAACCATCACTTGAGCATTAAACATTTTGCATTCTAACGCTCTGTGTCTCCTTGCCAGTCCTGTGATGCTGATTCTGTGAGCCATTTTCCAACATCACTTTTTTTAAGAAAATTTAGGGACTCGGGTAGATGAGCATTTTAAAGTTCATCATTTACACGGCAAAAGTGTTTGGAGAATAACATGAAATAATATATTCATGTTATCATTTCAAAAAAAGAAATGTTTAAGAGAAATCTTCGTCATAGAGAGGCAGTGTTAGCCAGCTCAGAGAGGGTCAGGGGCTTTGCGTGGCCCGGGGTGGGCATGCCATGGGCAGGAGATCGCTGCCCGCCGTGCCCGGTGTGCTGTGCGCTGCCCGCTGTGCTGTGCCCCAGTGTCTGGGGTCAGAGAGGAACGGAGGGGGTGCTGGACCTCAGAGCAGTATGGAGGGCCTGAGACTGCTCCCTGGCATCACATGGACCCAGGTTTCAGAGAACACAGGCTGAAGGTGGCTGGGAAGTTCATGTTGGCACCCAGGGACCCACAATTGAGAATATCCTCATGACTGTGGAGGGAGACAGACCTGAGCTCAGAGTGAGGGCTTTGCCGTGAGTGGACTCGAGATGGGCACAGGGGGGCCAGGGACTGCTGTGGGCTCCACCAGGGCCGTGTGCACACTCACACGCTGGCGGGAGACGCCCCAAGGGTCCTCTGCTCCCCAGACACCCCAGGATGACGTCTCTGTACCAGGCAGCGTCCCCCTCATTGGTGAACACGGTGATCAAAACAGCAGAATCTCTGCTCGTGACACGTTTTCACCAACACTGCCACAGAGTGCAGATTCTAAGCATATGGCATAGCTGCACCCCGAGAGCTCACCCTGCAGAGCCGTCTTTCTCTGGTCCCCTCCGTCCTGACATCTTGTGGGATGTGGGTACAGCATCGTCAGGCCCACGGGCTCCGGGCACACCCACATTCCCTCACACGGGACAGCACGCATAGGCTCCATGGAACACGCCTGCTGCTCTGCAGAATCCTCTGACGCTCTGCCCCCGCGTGAAGCCAGAGCCAGGCAGCAGGAAGGCTTCTCCCAGCAGCTGCTCTGTCTGCGTTTTGTTCCCTTTGGCTCTCTGCATCTGGGAGAGTTTTGTAGGCCTCTAAGAATAGTCTGTATTATTTCTAGATTAAAAAATACATCCCCTGTGACTCATTTGCAGTAATGATGTTTCCTATTAGCCAGCTCATTTTATAGTCAGAGTCGTGAGAGTCGTTTGCACTGTTTCCCTGGGAGGGCATCATTATTCTAGAAGATGGAATATAGCAATGCCTTTACCATAGCAAGGGACAGCTTTTCCATGAGCCTCTGCCTGAGCCGGTCTCGAGTGAAGATCGATGTCGTTCCCGGGTCTGTGTTTGCAGCCCTGAAGGTTTTTCTCACTCACAGCCTGAATGATTCCACAGCACACTGGGGTCTCTGCTTCACAGGTCGCCAATACCAAGAAAGAGACGGTGTTCAAGTGGCTCAAGGACGATGTTCTGTATGAGACGGAGACGCTGCCGGACCTGGAGAGAGGCGTCTGTGAGCTGCTCATACCCAAGGTGCCGTGTGCCGGGCACAGCCAGCCTGCCTTGGAAGCCCTCCAAGTCCACCTTGTCTTTGTTGGTTTGCTGGGACAGGGCGTTTGCGCCCAGGGCCCACGGAGGCGCAGTACCCAGCTCACGCAGATGGGGCTTTGTGCTTTATTTGTAGCTGTCCAAGAAGGACCATGGTGAATACAAGGCAACCTTGAAAGATGACAGAGGTCAAGACGTGTCCGTCCTTGAAATAGCAGGCCAAGGTGCGTGACGCCCTTTGTCCTCCTGGCCCGCCACCCCGTGTGTGTGACACTGAGTGGCTTGACTGACCAGTGGCTTCTACATCTGTGGCCCCTGCACATTTTGTTTTCTTCTTTGGCTAGTCCTGGGACTAGAACTCTGGACCAGCGTGCTGTCCCTGAGTTCTTTTGTTCAAGAGCTCTTGCCGGGCTCCGGTGGCTCATGCCTGTAATCCAAGTTTCTGGGGAGGCTGAGATCTGAGGATCATGGTTCAAAGCCCGTGAAACTCTTATCTTCAATTAACAACTAGAAAACCGGAAGTGATGCTGTGGCTCAAGCGGTAGAGTGCTCACCTTGAGCTGAAGAGCTGAGGGACAGCGCCCAAGCCCAGAGTTCAAGCCCCACGACCGACAAAAAAAAAAAAAAGGACAAGAGCTCTACCACTTGAGCCACAGCACCACTTCCAGTTTTTGGTGGTTTATTGTAGATAAGAGTCTCACAAACTTTCCTTTTTGTGGCTTTGAACCACGATCCTTAGATCTCAGCTTCCTGAGTAGCTGAGGTTACAGGCGTGAGCCACTGGTGCCTAGTCTTGTACATATTTTATAGCCAGCTCTGTGGAAGAGAACACACTACATCAGCTGTGTTGCATGCGGTTGGTGAAGTTCATGTGCTGGCTAGTGCAGCTGGAGTCTGTGCATGCGATGTTCAGTTCAGTGTGCTGGTGATGTATGCTGTGTAAGGGTTCCTACCCCATATTTAGGGGTGACAGCTGGAAGGACTTACGGCACACAGAGCCTTCACGGATAGGTTGGCCAATTAACGTGTCGTTTTCCAGATTTAATCAGACCCTGGAGAGGAGGCTTCCTGTTACAGTGCCACCCTGACGCGCCTCTCTGTTCTCTCTTCCAGTGTACGAGGACATGATCTTGGCGATGAGTCGAGTCTGTGGTAAGAGATGCCCTCTGGTTAGCGCTACCATCAGCAGTGTTCACCCCTGGAGGGAGGGAGCAGGAGGTGCAGCCGCGCCCATGTGACCGCCCCGGCTGGAGGGTCCCCCCCGCCCCCCCCCGCCCCCCCCGCCCCCCCCGCCCCCCCCCTCCCCCCGCTTTCCCCAGAGCTTGGGCTGAGCATGGAGCCTGGAGTTCCACTCAGCCACCTCTGGCCATCTGCCTCCGGTGAATCTGGCAATGAATGGCTTTACCCAGAACTGCGGTCAGCATCCTTATTTCAAGAACGGAAGGGAACTAACAACCTTTAGAACTGGGGCGACTCCTACGTGCCACACCAATGTCTACTAAGTTCTTTCTCCGTTTGCCCTTCCATGGAACCCATCAGAGTGAAGATGGTTATTTTTAGTTTTTCTGGTCCTGGCTTGGACTCTGCGCCTGGTCACTGTCTAAGCTCCTTTTTTGCTCAAGGCTAGCTAGCTCTCTCCCACGTGGGCCATAGTGTCACTCCCAGCTTTTTCTGTAATTAGAAGAGTCTCACGGCTCTCCTGCCTGGGTTGGCTGCAAACCTTGATCAATCCTCAGACCTCACTAGGGCAACAGGCAAGAGCCACCGGCCCCCAGCGATAATGGTTATGAATTTAGCAATAGTAGCTCACATGTGTATAACGTGTTCTGCTAGCAGTTACATGATCTCCTCACAGAATATCTGGCTTGTTTTCTGGTCAGGCAGCGAAGACCTAGCATGCAGGTAGCTTCTGGTGGGTGCTCAGCCTGCTGCGTCAGGACCTCCCGGAAGCCTCCGGAGGCGGCTGCCCTTCACCCCCACTCCCACGCCTCTCCCCGCATTCCTGTGAATGTCTCTCCTCATTGCTGTCTCCAGACGGCCCGGGACGCAGACCATCGCACCCTGCACACGTCCTGCGTGAGGCGGCTGGGCTTCCTCCACCTCTCACGATTCAGCCAACGGCTCTCGGTTTTGGCTGTCTTAATTCGCAGATCCATTGTACCTGGGTGTTCTTTCTGGTTGAATAGTATTCCGTGGAACACATGAACCGTAATTCCCTCATTCATCTGTTGTTGGGCTCTTCTGCGAGGCGTGTGTCTGCAGGTGTCTCTCTTGGATGTTGGTTTATTCTCCTTTGCACATATGCTCAAGAGCGGTAGGCTGGGATCATAAGCAGGCCTGTTTTCAGTGTTTGAGGGACCTCCACAGTGTTTCCATAGTCTTTTCCCTATTCACATTCCCGCCAACAGAACACCAGGGTCCCCCTCGCCTGCTTCCTTGCCAGTGTGTATGGTTTGTTTGTTTTTTTGGTGTGGGGCTTGAACTCTGGGCCTGAGCCCTGTCCCTCTGCTCTTCAGTTCAAGGCAAGTGCTCTGCCGCTTGAGCCACAGCGCCACTTCCAGTTTTCTGGTGGTTTATTGGAGATAAGAGTCTCACGGACTTTCCTGCTCAGGCTGGCTTTGAACGGTGATCCTCAGATCTCAGCCTCCTGAGTAGCTAGGATGACAGGCGTGAGCCACCAGCGCCCAGCTGGTTTGTGTTCTTGATTACCATTCTTCCTGGGAGAACGGGCTCTTAGCGTGGTTTGCACGTAGCATCGTGTAGTTTTGGTTCGCATTTCCTTCATGGTTAAGGGTGCTGAACATTTGTTCATGTCTCTATCAGCCATATCTATTTCCCTTTCTGAGAAATGCCTCTTCAGTCCATTTACCCATTCATCAACTGGGCTATAACTCAAGAATATCTATTTTTTGAGTTATTTGTATATTCTGATATTAATCCCTGTATGTTGAATATAGAGGAATCTGGAGAAGATCTTTTTCTGTTCTGTGGATTGTCTCTCAGCTCTGGTAACTGCTTTTTTGTTGCTGTAGTGCTGTTAAGAAGCGTTTTAATTTGATGTAGGCTCTCGTCCGCTCCTGCCTTTGTTTCCTGGTGGTCTTTGCTGGTTCTTCCCACGCGTTGGGCTGACAGTGTAATGAGTCCCTGTCACCTGCACCCTCCAGCTCAGCTGCTCAGGGGCAGGTGCTGGCTCTTGAAAAATGGTGCGTTTCTCCCCATGCTCTGCAAAGGGCTTTTTGGAACATTCTGGTCTGTGGGCTTGCTTCCTGAGCATGTGTGATGGGGACAGACTTCGGCCCCCGCCCACGTGAGGTGTCTGCAGAAGGCACGCCTACTCTGTCCGGGGTGAGAGTGTGTGGAACAGGGCCCTGCCGCCCTCTGGAGATCTCAGCCCGCTCGGTCTGCTGCCCTCTGGAGATCTCAGCCCGCTCGGTCTGCCGCCCTCTGGAGATCTCAGCCCGCTCTGTCCGGGGTGAGAGTGTGTGGAACAGGGCCCTGCCGCCCTCTGGAGATCTCAGCCCGCTCTGTCATCCACAGGAGCGTCCGCCTCTCCACTGAAGGTTCTGTGCACCCCAGAGGGAATCAGACTCCAGTGTTTCATGAAGTACTTCACAGAAGAAATGAAAATCAACTGGTATCACAAGTAAGTCGGGGGTGAGGAGGCTTGGATGCACCCGGCCTGTGTGTCGTGGAGATGCTGCAGTTCTGAGCACCGTGAGCTTCGTGGGCAGTGGAGGGCGAGGGGAGGGGGGCTCACGGGGGAGGCGCTCCCGGTTACAGTTAGCCCTGCTCATAACCAGTTTGTCTGGAAGCCAGCAGAATGCTAAAGGCGTGGCCACTGTTTATAAACCAGACCCAAATTTCTAGCCACTGGCTTTTCACTAGGCTTGGGGAAAAAGACAAGGCCCTAAGCCCAGTAACAATAAAGCAGTATTAATAATAATTAATAAAGACCTCACCCAAGGGGTGACTCTTCCATCAGTGCCACAGGCTCTCAGCCAGAACCAAAGCAGGACCAGATCTACAGATCTCTGTGTCCACAGGACGGGATCGCCTGGGGCTTGGGGAGCAGGCCCTGTCCTTCTGTTCGCCTGGCCTCCATGTCAAGGCCCTGACAGCCTCGTCTTTAGCCAGCTGGAGAATTTACAGTTCTGTTCCATTTCCAAAGCACTAAGTCTGCTTGGGACTGAATTGTACTTCCAGTGGAGTGTCTGTTCCTGGGCATGTTTTGGCCCCTGTTCAAATTTTGCCACGCCAAGCCTGTCCTGATGAACTTGGACTCAAAAGGAGGACCTCGGCCCACTGGAGTCTGCGTGCACCTCCGCACGGCTCTGCGGTTCTGGGCTGAGTCTGTGCTGGGCAGGGCTTCCACAGCTTCCAGGCTCAGACGGTCCCAAGCAGAGCTTTGGCGGCAGGGATCACCCAAGCCCAAGTAAAGTCAGACCACGAGGCCACAGCATGCTGAAAAGTTGGCTTTCAATCCAGCGTACGGTGGCTGTATGCTGGATAAGACGTTCTTTTCAGGACTGAGTAATAGTCCATCACAGAGTGTACTCATCCATTTATCTGTCTGTGGCTACCCGGGCCTTTCTGCCAGGCTGCTGTGGAGTGAGGCTAGAGTGAGTGTTCATTTGAGCATTTACTCAACTGGGATCGCTGCATCGTGTCACAGTCTTGGAGTTAATGTTTTCAGGAACTTCTGTACTATGTGCATGGGATATTTTGAAGTTCAGCATGTGGGGATAACTAGTACGTGAAATAGTTAATACACCTTCAAACCAAGTATCACTTTAGGATTCAAGGTGTGCTTAGTAAATTTGCGGGAGTCAGACACATCTGCTGAGGCTTTGGTGTCCGCACGGGGTCTGTGAGAGACCTGGAAACAGAGCAGTGTGTTCTTGCGGTTTTCTTGAAGAGATGCCAAGATCTCCTCGAGCGAGCACATGCGTGTCGGCGGGAGTGAGGAGATGGCGTGGCTGCAGATCTGCGAGCCCTCGGAGAAGGACAAGGGGAAGTACACCTTCGAGATTTTCGATGGCAAGGACAACCACCAGCGTTCCCTCGACCTGTCTGGGCAGGGTGAGCGAGGGGTGCCGCGTCAGCGTCAGGTCAGGGTGAGCGAGGGGTGCCGCGTCAGCGTCAGGTCAGGGTGAGCGAGCGGTGCCGTGTCAGCGTCAGGTCAGGGTGAGCGAGGGGTGCCGCGTCAGCGTCAGGTCAGGGTGAGCGAGTGGTGCCGCGTCAGCCTCGGACGCACTGCGTCAGGCCAGTGCCAGGTGGGAGGGCCTGCCACATTAGCGCCCAGGACACCGCGTCAGCGGTCATGTGACGTGACAGAATGGAGACAAATCCAACCCTGAAGATGAGCGCGTTCCCATGGTTACGCTCAGCTTTCTATTAATTGACTCGCCCCGTGGCTAACCACGGTGAAGCAGCTTCTAACTTCTGAAATGTTCTCTTCCAGCCTTTGATGAAGCATTTGCGGAGTTCCAGCAACTCAAGTAAGGACTGCACGCGTGCTTACTCCCTGTCAGATAGGCTGGTCTGCTCGGGTCCCCCGCTGGGTCATCTAGTTATCACCTCAGAATGTGCTGTTCCTGGGACAGAAGGAGCCTAACATCCAATTGAAGATATTCTTCTAAACTAGAAATGCATTTGTAGACCGAGTTTCTAGGTCGATTGGGACCTTAAGTGATTAAAATGATACATTTCTGCAATGATTGCAACCACAGTGAGATGTTGCACAGAGCAGCTTCTTAAAAGAATGGATCGGGAGCCCGGGCGGGGACAGTCCCTGGCTCTGGCTAGGTTCGGTGGCACGTCTTTGTTGACTGGCCAGATTAACCAGAAACCAACAATTCAAAAATCGCCTGAGGTCTCCAATGTGAGCTGGTGAGCTTGTGGCAGACAATGACGGCTTCAGCCTCTAGTGTGGCTGACAGCCTTCCTGTGGGTCTCGGCATTTCCCATCTCAGAGTGAACGGTGGAAGTTGTAGGAAAAATGCACGGGCAGATTCCGTGCCCACAGACGGGACCTGTGGCGGTCAGGAGTGGACAGATGGCCTGGCTCTGTGCCGGGCGCTGTCGCGTCCCTTGTCATCACACCCTAAAGTGCAGTGTGACAATGACTTACTCCGTTTATGTTGCTGTAGGCATTGCAAGCACTCTAGAGAAGGTGTTAGGCATTCGGGAGGAAGTACGTGGGTCTCAGGCGCTGGGGAAGCCAGCGGCTTTCCTTCTGACTCCAGTGGCCACTAACAGCTCTCGAGCTCAGGGACGCAGCTGTGGCTGCATTTCTCAGCACTCTCTCTGTTCTCTCCTCCCCTCCCCGTCCCTCCCAGGGCCGCCGCGTTTGCCGAGAAGAGTAAGTATACCTGCGTGACAACAGACGGGACAGGACCCAAATTCCACACAAGTCATTTTGTGCCTCTAACCAGCATCCTTCCTGTCCTGGTCTGAGTGTGACCTCTGCCCCTGGCCTCAGTCTCCACCTGTTCCTCTTCCTGCCCCCACCTACCCTTGCAAGATGTTGCTCCCAGAGGCTGAGCTCTTCCCTCCGGACCAAGTCAGGCCTCGGGCCTTGGGCTGCGGGCCTCGGGCTCGGGCTCTGCCTCCTTCCTCAGCCGACTGTCATCATATTTTCTGCAATGTCATGCTGTCTCCCTGTCTCCTCACTGCGTCACCTCCTTGTTATCTGAATGCCCGTGGCCTCTGGTCTGCTTCTCCTCAGTGCCTGTGTCTTTGCTGCCCGCATCCTTTCCCCGGGGTGTGAACTCTCTCCTGGGGATGTGAGCTCTCTCTCGGGGGTATGAGCTCTCTCCTGGGGATGTGAACTCCTTCCCGGGGGTGTGAGCTCTCTCCTGGGGGTGTGAGCTCTCTCCTGGGGGTGTGAACTCTCTCTTGGGGGTGTGAACTCTCTCCTGGGGGTGTGAGCTCTCTCCCTGGGTGTGAACTCTCTCCCAGGGGTGTGAACTCTCTCCTGGGGGTGTGAGCTCTCTCCAGGGGTGTGAGCTCTCTCCCGGGGGTGTGAACTCTCTCCCATGGTGTGAACTCTCTCCCGGGGGTGTGAGCTCTCTCCTGGGGTGTGAGCTCTCTCCCGGGGGTGTGAGCTATCTCCCGGGGAGTGTGAGCTCTCTCCCAGGGTGTGAACTCTCTCCCAGGGTGTGAGCTCTCTCCCGGGGGTGTGAGCTCTCTCCCGGGGTGTGAACTCTCTCCCAGGGTGTGAGCTCTCTTCCGGGGGTGTGAACTCTCTCCCGGGGGTATGAGCTCTCTCCCGGGGGTGTGAGCTCTCTCCCGGGATGTGAACTCTCTCCCGGAGTGTGAGCTCCTTCCCTGCCGTCATGGTGCCCGGGCTCCCTTAACCTGGCACTCTCCCGTTGCAGACCGGGGCAAGGTGATCGGCGGCTTACCTGACGTGGTGACCATAATGGAGGGCAAGGTGAGAGCAGAGGCGGCGGGGCCGCCGTGGCGATGCGGGGTGCGGTCCCGCCGTGGCGATGCGGGGTGCAGCTGTCCTCCTGACTCTTTCTCTGCCACACCCCCTCTGCAGACCTTGAACCTGACCTGCACAGTGTTTGGAAACCCCGACCCGGAAGTGGTTTGGTTCAAGAATGACAAGGACATCGAGCTGAGCGAGCACTTCGCGGTGAAGGTGGAGCAGTCCAAGTATGTCAGCCTCACCATCAGCGGGGTCACCGCTGAGGACTCGGGCAAGTACAGCATCAACGTCAAGAACAAGTATGGAGGGGAGAAGATTGATGTCACCGTCAGCGTGTACAAGCACGGGGAGAAGATTCCAGAGCTCTCTGCACCCCAGCAGGCCAAGCCAAAGCTCATCCCCGCGTCCACCTCTGCGGAATGAGGGTCATGTGCAGCTGGGGGGGGAGGGGAGGGGAGGGGAGAGAAGGGGAGGGGCACGTTGTGTGAATGCTGTGTGCTGGGCCTGGAAGCCAGGACCATAGCGACGTCCCTGTGTCAGAGAGTCCCCACGTGACATCACATGTCCCGGAGTGATGTCATGCATGTCAGATGGTCCCTGAGTGATGTCACGTGTCATAGTCTGAGTGACGTCACACATGTCAGTCCACGAGTGATTTCACGCATGTCAGAAAGTCCCCAAGCAATGTCACGTGTGTCAGTCTCTGAGCGATGTAACACGTCAGATGGTCCCTGAGTGATGTCATGCATGTCAGATCCCAAATGACATTACACATGCCAGATAGTCCCTGAGTGACATGCATGTCATTCCCAAGTGATGTCACGCGTGTGAGGTAGTTGCAGAGTGATGGCATGCGCGTCATAGAGTTCCTGAGCGGCGTCACGTGTGTCGTGTGTGGTGTCACGCATGTTAGGTAGTTGCAGAGTGATGCGTGTCATAGAGTTCCTGAGCGGCGTCACGTGTGTCGTGTGTGGTGTCACGCATGTTAGGTAGTTGCAGAGTGATGCGTGTCATAGAGTTCCTGAGCGGCGTCACGTGTGTCATGTGTGGTGTCACGCATGTTAGGTAGTTGCAGAGTGATGCGTGTCATAGAGTTCCTGAGCGGCGTCACGTGTGTTGTGTGTGGTGTCACGCATGTTAGGTAGTTGCAGAGTGATGTGCGTCATAGAGTTCCTGAGTGGCGTCACGTGTGAATATGTGTGATGTCACGCATGTTAGGTAGTTGCAGAGTGATGCGTGTCATAGAGTTCCTGAGCGGCGTCACGTGTGTCGTGTGTGGTGTCACGCATGTTAGGTAGTTGCAGAGTGATGCGTGTCATAGAGTTCCTGAGCGGCGTCACGTGTGTCGTGTGGTGTCACACGTGTTAGGTAGTTGCAGAGTGATGTGTGTCATAGAGTTCCTGAGCGGCGTCACGTGTGTTGTGTGTGGTGTCACGCATGTTAGGTAGTTGCAGAGTGATGTGCGTCGTAGAGTTCCTGAGCGGCGTCACGTGTGTCGTGTGTGGTGTCACGCATGTTAGGTAGTTGCAGAGTGATGCGTGTCATAGAGTTCCTGAGCGGCGTCACGTGTGTCATGTGTGGTGTCACGCGTGTTAGGTAGTTGCAGAGTGATGCGTGTCATAGAGTTCCTGAGCGGCGTCACGTGTGTCGTGTGTGGTGTCACGCATGTTAGGTAGTTGCAGAGTGATGTGTGTCATAGAGTTCCTGAGCGGCATCACGTGTGTCATGTGTGATGTCACGTGTGTTAGGTAGTTGCAGAGTGATGTGTGTCATAGAGTTCCTGAGCGGCGTCACGTGTGTCGTGTGTGATGTCACGCGTGTTAGGTAGTTGCAGAGTGATGTGTGTCATAGAGTTCCTGAGCGGCATCACGTGTGTCATGTGTGGTGTCACGTGTGTTAGGTAGTTGCAGAGTGATGTGTGTCATAGAGTTCCTGAGCGGCGTCACGTGTGTCGTGTGTGGTGTCACGCATGTTAGGCCTCTGAGTTTTCACTGTGACTTTCTGTGCACAGCTGCTCAGCTTGCATGCACAGGAGGGTGACCGGCAGGTAGTGGTGGGGGCAGGCGGCCAGGGCAGCATGGTGGTCTGGGTCGTGGGGACATGGGGGTGCGCTCAGTGTCCAGAGCTGTTCCCATGCGTGGGCTCAGTGTCCAGAGCTGTCCCTGTGTGTGGGCTCAGTGTCCAGAGCTGCTTCCGTGAGTGGGCTCAGTGTCCAGAGCTGTTCCTGTGCGTGGGCCATGCTGGTGGCCGCAGCCCTGGTGGTCTGGAACCTCGCTGGGGACCCGGTGTTTCCCGGGGCCACTGTTTTCTTCTGGTTTCAAGCCAATAAAATGTTAAAATTCACCGTGTGTGGTTTTCTGAGCCTAAATCCTGCTTAAGTAACTCTTCCCTCCTGGCCAGTTCGGTGATGGGTTTTCGTGCAATTTCACAGCTGCACGTGTGTGGACAGTGAGCTGAGGCCCCGGGACCCAGGTGCATATTGCTTCCAGAAAGCTCCTGCTGCCCCCTGCAGCTCCTTGCGGGGGAGGGGAGGAGGAAGTCTCCATATCACAGATCCCAGAAGCGTGCACCTTGTGAGGGTCAAGAAAACTCATCCAGGACTCGGACCCTCTGCTGAGGGAGTGTGTGCGTGCATGTGTGCGTGTGGATGCATGCATGTATATGCATATGTGCACAGTGCACATGTGTACTGTGTGCATGTGTGCACATTTGCACCTATGTGCATGTGCACTGTGCGAGTGTGCCTGTGTATGTGTGGTGTCTCGGTTCTGCTCTAGTGGCTAAATAATCAGGAAGGGATTCTGGAGGGGGCAGGCATGCATCTGTGAGCAGTGCTGTGGCGGTCCAGGCGGGAAAGAAGTGTGGCTAATTCCAGAAGTTCTCAGGGTGAGGGGGGCGCTCTCTGCTTTGCAGAGCTGCCAAGTCCTCTGGTGTAAAAGCCCAGCCATTGTGATTTGGCATAAAAGCTGCTTTTCAGTCCAATGGGCTTCCACTGTTGGGGGCCATTGTATCTCTGTGGGTCATTAAGGCCAAACCAAATTTTATGGCATCTTGTTGTTTTCTTGAAGGTGCTCATAGGCAGGCGGAATCTTGAATGTGGTGATGACACAAAGCTTGTCCTTAGTGAGGGCATTCGGCTCCCACAGAGGCCAGCTGCAGGTCTCAGCCAGAATCCTTCCTGGGGTAGGGGAGGGTCAGGAGGTCTTGGTGGTGACAATGCCCCATGGTACAGCAGATTTGTGAGTTCCCAGCGTCAGTTTTGATGAACAGAAGTTGCTTGTCTTCAGGTTTAAACCGTCCTTTTGCTGCTGCTGTTGTGTAGCAATTGTGGTTCTCAGGAAAGTATTAAAATGTTTAGGAATGTCTTAAAGCCCAGATTTAAAAAGCACACTTTTGTAAGAGCAGTTTCAGGTTCACAGCAAAATGGAGAGGAAGGAGCAGGTTTTTATGCATTCCTTTCCCTGTCTCGCAGTCTTCCTCCCGTTAAAGTTCCAACAAAGCCGGGGGAGGAATCCTGGTCCCCGTCCCCTGTTCCTGGGGATCTCAGGAGGAGGAGGGGTGTGGGAGAGGGCGTGCCCGGGGCTGGTCCTGGCTCATGGGCCTTTTCTGGGGTGGCCAGGCTGGGGCTCCTGGCTCCCTTGTCCACGGTCTCCTCCACCTCCCGAGTCCCACGCGGGGGCCCCTGGGCGAGCGGGTGGGGCCGTGGGGTCTGGCGGTTTTTGTTTCCTCTCCTGGCATCTGTGGCTGGCTGAGGCGGGGGTGGGGTGGGGGTGCACAGGCCTGCGGCTCTCCGTCGGGCTCCCGGCTTCTCCTGGCTCTGGCTGTGCCGTTCACCCCTGGCCAGGCTCCATTCCTTCCCTGTGAACACTGACCTTGGAGCCTGCTTCCCTCAGTCTGGCTTGGGTGGAGCTGTGAGGTTGTCGGCTGCGCTGGTTCTCAGCCACTCTCATGAAGGAGGACAGAGCCTCCCGCTTGGCTTCCCTGCCACACCCTGTGGGTCCACCAGGTGGCGCTCAGACCTCGGGCACGGCTGTGCCGGGAGGCCGCTTCCTCGGGGGAGGCCTCGCCTCCTTTGAAGGAAGATTGTTGAAGGCATCGAGCTCCTGGCGATAAGGACAGGGCTGACGTTGGTTTCCAGGACATAGCAGGTCATTTTGCCAGCAATAACACAGCGTCGCCACCGCAATGCACGTAAGGAGGGATGAAACACACCTTCGGAGGCAGTGCACAGCTCTATTACATCCGCAAAGTCGTAAAGCCGTGGGATCCGTCGGCGCACTGAGTCTGGGGCCTGGATTTTAAATATCCACCTTTCAAGGAGCACGTCAAAGGCCGGCGAACTTCATTCTTCAGAGGAGGAATTTTCAGTGCTGGGATTTCACACGCGGCATGTGATGCTCACAACGTGACACGGGGACGTGGGCAGGGCTTCCTGGGTCTCTGGGGAGCTGTGTCCGCCCTGGCATCCTTGGCCGTCCATCCATCCACAGTCTCTCTGTGGGCTTCTGCACCTAGGATCAGAAAAGGTTTTCAGGTTTGTGGATTTGGGACTGTAAGCTGCTTGAAGCTACTAGAAACGTCTCTCCCTCTCTGTGTCACAGTAAACAAGGTTAACTTCATCTTCTTATTAACAAAATATAACTGGTCGTTTATGGTTAAGTAACGGAAGGAAAAATTAGCTCCGCTAGTCTCACCTTTCTCTGGCTTAAAATGGATTAGAATCCGATTTAGGCTCACTTTACCTGTGCAGTCACGACCATATGGATTCAATTAGAAAGGTCTATCGTGGGGTTTATTAAAGAGCATATTAACAGGCCACATTAAAAATCAAAATTGAAGCAGAATTCTAGATCAGCTCAACATTCACCCCCGCAGCCTCAGGCAGCCCTGGCTTTGTCACCTTCGGCCCCAGCCTCAGGCAGCCCTGGCTTTGTCTTGATGTCTTTAAGCCCCTTCCACCCCAGCCACCATCACGCTGATTTGTCTGCTTTCATTTTACTGAAATAGTCCTCTCCTTGCCCAGTAACACACAGCGCGGTCCTTCCGCTCCTGTCAGAAGTAAGCAGTGTGACGATGGTTACCCCTGGGGGGGGGATTCCTCCTGGCCCTGGGGGGGATTCCTTGTGGCCCTGGGGGGGATTCCTCCTGGCCCTGGGGGGGATTCCTCATGGCCCTGGGGGGGATTCCTCGTGGCCCTGGGGGGGATTCCTCGTGGCCCTGGGGGGGGATTCCTCCTGGCCCTGGGGGGGATTCCTTGTGGCCCTGGGGAGGGATTCCTGCTGGCCCTGGGGGGGAGGGATTCCTCGTGGCCCTGGGGGGGATTCCTCCTGGCCCTGGGGGGGGGGATTCCTCATGGCCCTGGGGGGGAGGGATTCCTCGTGGCCCTGGGGAGGGATTCCTGCTGGCCCTGGGGGGGAGGGATTCCTTGTGGCCCTGGGGGGGATTCCTCCTGGCCCTGGGGAGGGATTCCTCGTGGACCTGGGGGGGGGAGGGATTCCTCCTGGCCCTGGCTCTAGAATGAGTGTCGTGGGCAGCCACAGTGGACGGCCTTTCTTCTCTGCCTCAGTTTCCTTGTGTGCAGGAACGAGTCAGGAGTCCTCACGCTGGGCCTCAGCCATGTGTTTGTGGGGCTGCCTCACCTCCCCCGTGACCCCTGAGCACCCCTGCATCGGGAGTGCCCACCAGGCTGGGCTTCCACCGCTCAGTGTGTTTTGGGGACCTCTGGCTTCCACATAGGATCGTGTTCCAGGGTCTCCTCAGTCCCTCTCCCATCCCCTGTTGATGACTGGTAATAATTTTCCAGCTCCACCTTTGCTGAGCTGAGTGGTGTTTGGATGTAGCATCAGGAAGTAGCCACCCTCCTCTTACTGAGCAGCGTGGACACTTCCCCACTGCCTGTCCCAGGGAGGTGGAGGCTCCAGGCCGAGGCTCGATGACAGCCCGGGCGCTCCGTCCTTACCCCGAGGCTCGGTGACAGCCCGGGGCGCTCTGTCCTTACCCCGAGGCTCGGTGACAGCCCGGGCGCTCCATCCTTACCCCGAGGCTCGGTGACAGCCCGGGTGCGCCGTCCTCACCCCGAGGCTCGATGACAGCCCGGGCGCTCTGTCCTTACCCCGAGGCTCGGTGACAGCCCGGGTGCGTGCGCCGTCCTCACCCCACCGCTGCTGCTGCAGAGGCAGTGGAGCCCCCAGGCCCCCGCTCTCCTGGCTTTCTTCCCTGTACACTGGTAAAGCTCATCCTCCAACAGCACAGGAAGCTGGTCTCTGGCCCCACAGGGCCAGGAGTTGAGAAGCTGCATTTGAAGGCCGTTCCCTGCCGAGCTGCAGCCCTCGGGAACCCGACAGAGACAGCGCAGCTTTGTGGAGGAGCCCAGGGCCGGAAGCGGCCCCCAGCTGCTGTGGGGGCCACGTGGAGGCCAGGTCGGTGCAGGCAGCGCCACGGGCCACACCATTCACAGCGGGTTTCAGAATCCAGGAGTGAGGCCCGAGCAGCCCTCGCCCTCCAGAACCCTCAGAGCGCAGAGCAGCCTGAGGCCTCGGGAAGGCCGAAACCTAGGGAGGCTGGGCTGCTGCAGGGCCCCAGAGAGGCCGCTGTGCAGAGCGGAGGATTTGCTTTGGTTTTCTGTGCTGATAGCCACATAGTCTGCAAATAACAAGTTCCTTTCTTTCTTGGTGACTGTATCTTGATGCACCTGCAGTCCACCTGCAGAGGAAGGAGAGGAGGAGCAGGCTTGGGAAGCAGAGGGTGTGCGAGGCTAGCCTTCCCAGACGTTCCCGAGCGTGCGTGTGTGCGTGGCCAGCCTTCCCAGACGTTCCCGAGCGTGCGTGTGTGCGTGGCCAGCCTTCTCAGACATTCCCCGAGCATGCGTGCGTGCGAGGCCAGCCTTCCCAGACATTCGCCGAGCGTGTGTGCGAGGCCAGCCTTCCCAGACATTCCCCGAGCGTGAGTGTGTGCGAGGCCAGCCTTCCCAGACATTCCCCGAGCGTGTGTGCGTGGCCAGCCTTCCCAGACGTTCCCCGAGTGTGCGTGCATGGCCAGCCTTCCCAGACGTTCCCGAGCGTGTGTGCGTGCGAGGCCAGCCTTCCCAGACGTTCCCCGAGCGTGAGTGTGTGCGTGCGAGGCCAGCCTTCCCAGACGTTCCCCGAGCGTGCGTGTGTGCGTGTGAGGCCAGCCTTCCCAGACGTTCCCCGAGCATGCGTGCGTGCGAGGCCAGCCTTCCCAGACGTTCCCCGAGCGTGCGTGCGTGCGAGGCCAGCCTTCCCAGACGTTCCCCGAGTGTGCGTGTGTGTGAGGCCAGCCTTCCCAGACGTTCCCCGAGCGTGCGTGTGTGCAAGGCCAGCCTT